AAAATGAAAAAATCCAAGCGCGTTTTGTACGGTCATACCTCAAAAAGAAGAAGATTAAGTTCCAGTATGAAGCTACCAAGTCCGATTTGAACAAGGTGGCGGGGCTCGAGTCTCTCAAGTGCCGGTGGCAATTCATGTTATTATTATTTTATTTATTTTACTAGGGTGTTTCCCACAGACCATGTGTTTGGTTACGCTGCACAAGCAGCGCATTACTTTATCCCTTCCACTAATTGTTATCGGCCAATCAGCATACTCTCACCACCTCACATCCAATCAGCATACCCCGCGTCACACTAACGTTACACAAACTTGTCTCATATATGCGAAAAAATGGTACTGAATCATAGCAACATCCTCCTGGATAATGAACATAATAACGATTAAAACACAACAACCGACAACAACCGACAACAACCAACAACAACCAAAAACAGCCAACAACAGCCAACAACAACCAACAACAACCGACAACAACCGACAACAACCGACAACAACCGACAACAACATCCAACAACCAACAACAACTGACAACAACCAACTACAACCAACAACAACAACAACAAACGACAACAACCAACAACCGACAACAACAACCAACAACAACCAACAACAACCAACAACAACCAACAACAGCCAACAACAACCAACAACAACCAACAAGAACCGACAACAACCGACAACAACATCCAACAACCAACAACAACTGACAACAACCAACTACAACCAACAACAACACACAACAACAACCAACAACCGACAACAACAAACAACAACAACAACAACAACAACCAACAACAGCCAACAACAACCAACAACAACCAACAACAACGGACAACAACCGACAACAACCAACAACAACCAACACCAACCAACACCAACCAACAACAACACCCAACAACCGACAACAACACCCAACAATCGACAACAACACCCAACAACCAACAACAACACCCAACAACCGACAACAACCGACAACAACAACCAACAACAACCAACAACACCTGACAACAACCGACAACAACCAACAACGCCCAACAACAACCAACAACAACCAACAACAACCAACAACAACCGACAACAGCCGACAACAACATCCAACAGCCAACAACAACCCACAGCAATCAACAATAACAACCAACAACCGACAGCAACAACCAATAACAACCAACAACCGACAGCAACAACTAATAACAACATCAACAACGACGACGATAACGACGACACCAACCGACAACAACATCAACAACAACCAACAACAACCAACAGCAAACGACAACAACCGACAACAACCGACAGCAACAGCCACCAACAAAATCAACAACAACGACGATAACGACGACAACAACATCAACAATGACGACGACGATAACGACGACAACCACAACAGTGTCCGGTAATGTGTGGTAGAGAATGGCAGTCAGCCAGACTGAGTACAGTTGAACATGTATAATAATAATAACACATTTCGCGTAGTTGAGCACTAAATAAAGAAATTCAGTGTTTTTCCCACTTCTGTCTTGTGAGCATCATCAGCAAGGTGTAGTAGCTGCTGATACTGATTTGTCCTCGAGTGTCGAGCTGCACAGTTTCTTCCAGTCTGTCTTGTCCTCTGCTTGTTGCCGGCACCTGGAAAGGTCTTCCATGGTCTTCATGGGCACACCCAGCTTATTCAACTGAGCGAGCAGACTTGTGGCTAGTGTCAACCTTGGCCGCCCACGGGGTGCTTTGTTGCCCTTGTCCAAAGAGCCGCTCATGGCTACTTAGGGTGGCGTGTCCGTGTCCGTCTGTAGCACATGACTGGTCATTCGTAGTCGCCTACATGCAGCTGTGTCATGTATTACTACAAGAACTCAACCAAGTCCTCAGCAGTCATGGAGTAGCGGCAGGTTAGGCAAGTAGGGCTGGGGGCAGAACTGATCCACTCCTTGATGCAGTGGAAGTGAAATTCATGACCGCACTCCAACTTGGATAGAGGACGGTCCAGGGTATCCTGACAAATCACACAAATGGACTCATGACTTATTGCTGACGAGTCTACCTTAGTAGGCACTACATTGATGTACTGCAGCTCCATGGGGTGTATTGCCTGGTCTTGATGGTGGTCATCGTAATACACCCCGTTGAGGTACCACTGATAGACACCCTCCTCCTCCTGAGAGATGAAAGCAGGTCCATCTTCCCTATGCCGAAGGTTGTATCGGTACCACTCCCGTACACGATTGTTACCTTCCCTGCGTATCACCGCTGGCGCATTCTCCCTGTGGAGCCTTCCGTGGTGTAACCACCGTAGAATACAGCATGTGGCGTCACAATAACTGCAGGACCGCCGGCTCTAGACGCCGTTGAGGTAGTACTCGATGCTACCCCGTCCTATCCAAGCAGGTTCATTAACGCGATGAAGGCGACCTCCATAGCACCAGGCGGACACTCCCCTACTATCAACAAGAGCTGGTCCGTCCTCCCGATGGAGTCTACCATCGACGTGCCAAATTTCTTGCTGCGCGTTTTGATCTGCCAACTCCACAACAGTTCTTATTGGCGTCCGCCTTTCTATTAGTAAAGGACCCGTGGTGAGAGACCACGACCGGTCGTCCACGTCTACACCGAATGTATCAGCCATATCTATTTACTGAGAATAATGTAACAACTCCTCCACAAAACGCTTCTACAACTGACGTCTTCTTCATCCCCAGATAGGCGTTAGCCTTTGGGTAATCCTGAAATAAAGATTATTATTATTATCCTGGGTTTTTTTTCCTCTTGGTGGTTTTGGATAAGAGTTGAAAAGTCCAAAAGGTCAACTGATGACCTTTGCATTACTTGGTATGATTGGATTTTAGCGGGTGATGTCGGTATGCAGCTGGGGAGCGAATTCGACAGGAAGAAGGTAAAGGCCTTGCTTTGCGGTTCACACCTTCACTTCAGTATCATTACATTTACAGTATGGCGTTCACTTGCCACTGCGGTGTGGAACTGACAGGAGTTATACCCTTGTTTCAGCACCTGAGGCGGTGCGTCAAGCGCCGCCTCTTTCTTATAATATATTGTGACAAATGGTAAGTGTGCAGTGCTCCTAGCTCTCTCCCCCAACAAAAGAGCTCTATGACACTGTGCTTTCTGCGGTTTCTTTCGTTTTTACAGTGGAGAAAGGCTGGTGGGAGGCCAGGCCGTGGCCGCACACCTGGCGGGTGCGGCCCATCGAGCCCGTTACTGGGAGGGCCGGCAAGTCGGGCTGCTGTTGCAGTCCGACTACCGGGACGCCATGGAGCGTATCCGGACCCTGTAAGTAAGCACTGCTCTGTCTACATGTATACTTATCCCCCTCGTTATAGCGATACTTACTTGTTTCGTATCCTCTTGTCTTACCCTGCTTCCGTATTCGTGACACTAATAGTGTTTGTGTGCGCTCATGCTTGGTTATACAGATGATGATGATGTATGTATGAAGGTCTGGAGCTAGCTGCCGTCTTCGGGATGTGCCATTTGTTTTCAAAATTATTTGTAAGTACTTGGAACAGGCGTAGTGTAGTAACTGTGTATGCAGTGTAGTAACAGTGTGTAGTGTTTTGTGATGGTCCTGAGCGGTCGTAATGTGTTTTGTGATGGTCCTGAGCAGTCGTAATGTGTTGGGCTACTGAAGTACACTGCATGAAGGGGTATGCGTGGGTGCTTCGACATATTCTCGTGCTTCCTAAACCCTAGATACGTGTATAGCACTATAACCTAGATGTGTGTGTGTGTGTGTGTGTGTGTGTGTGTGTGTGTGTGCCCGCGCATGCGTGCGTGTGCGTGCATTGTGTTCTCTTCTACAGACTCATCCAAGTCCATTTAAATAAAAGTGCATTATAGTAAACAGTATTGTGTTTTGTTACAGTGAATATGTGGGGAATGGTGGATATGCCTTAGTGTGACTGGATACCCGCGGGTTGTGACTCTTTGCTGGTCACTCTGGATTCTCCAGTATAGATTCGATGCAGTGCAGAGGGGATTTGTGGTGCGTAGCAACACTGCTTCACTGTGACACCCCTTCAATAATTGTTTTAATGCATGATACTCCGGGCGTAGCCGGTTGATTCTAACTGTATCCTGATCAAAATAGAAATTTGCATCTAATGGACCTGCATGGACAGTAGGCATTTCCCTAATCGGCCGGGCGAAAAATTCGCCGAAAAACAGTGGTTTTGAAGAAATTACCCATCTTTTCGCCGAATTTTCAAAAATTCGCATGTTGAATTCCCCGAAAACCGATGCTTCAGTGCTTCAACAGGGTGTATGTAAATGTACTTGACGTAATGGGAGCGGTGACTTCAAGTACTATGTTGAGCCGAATTCTGATCTTGGAGCTCATAATATGGCCGAATTTGAACATTCTCGATCGAAAAGCCGATTAGGTATGCTCTGTATGGGCAACTTGTCAATCAGTGCACATCTACGATGTGCAAATAAAACGAATGCACGGAACGTGAACTTGTTTGCTGCACATCTACGAAGTGCGAATCATGGAGTAGTATAATGACACGTGTACTAGTCCACCTTGTGTTGCACTGCGTCTTTTCCGCAGGGCCACTGAAGGTCACACGCTCCGCGTGCGTATGCGCGCATGCGCAATATGTCACTGCACATCTACGATGTGCAAATCAGGGAGTAGTACGTATTTTACTACTCCCCAGTGCGAATGCACCGAACGTGCACAAGTGCACGTTCGCCACGGAAAAGAACATGATGACATTTATGGCATGACAGGGTCAAAGGTCAAACCCTGGGGGAGTCCCGGGGCCAGACCAAACGCGCCCGATACAGTGTGCCTTATTTAACCCAAAGGTCAAAGGTCAAACCCTGGGGGAGTCCCGGGGCCAGACCCAGCACGACCGACACAGTGTGCCTTATTTGGCCCAAAGGGCAAAGGTCAAAAAGTGTGCCAGAACCTGCCCCGCACTTACTACTTTGGATGCCTTGTATTATGATACCAGTGAAATACTTCATTGTGGTACGCTTACCCTTTGTCCTTCCTCCTGCAGAGTGGTGTTGATTGATTCAAACTGCTTAGCAGAATGTTGCTGGATGGCCCGGAAGTGTTGCTTGGTCTGTGGGAAAGAATTGAATTAAAATCAAAGGAACTCACTTTCCCCCTGGGCTTGCATTTTATATCCAAACATATGCAGACCCTAAAATGTCTGTTTTGAACATCTACTGTCCAAATGAAGCCCAAACAAATAATTATGCGTTTCCTTAGACACTACGGGAAGTTGAGACATTTTTGCACTTTATATATTCGATCATTCTATTGTTTGTCAATATTGGCACCTCTGATCGCCGCTGGATATTATATTTGCAATAATTGCTGTGTTGCATATGGCCACTTGGATTGGAATTCTTAGAACAGTGTTTTTGATAGCAGTTTTCCTTACCTTCTTCTCCTGTGCTTGCTGAGATAAGTTCAATGACCTCATGTCCTCCTTAATGGATAGGAGTTTAACCTTGTTCTGCAAATACAGCGCAAACCAATATCCTGTGTGAAAGGAGCCAAAGAAGTTTTTGGTTGCCGAGAGATAGCTAGACTACACATTCACTCTGGTTGTCTGAGAATGCCAAAGTGTTCATTGCCTAGCTACCGATTTGGATCATTTCCATTAGCTGTAGCTCTGGGAGAAAAGGACTCTTTAACGTCAATGCAGACACTTGGTCCTGTGGCTGCTCTTCCGAGAGGTCACACGTTACACTAGTCTCAAAATTCTATTCTCTCACGGATGACGTAAGTGTGGGAGCTTCCCAAAACTCGACTGATATTAAATCAGGCTGAGTACTAAGAACCGATTCGACTTTCTACAGGAAAGGTCACGTGAGTTCAATGGAGACTTGGTCATGACATCACGAAGTCAAATCCTTACTAGACATCCTACTGTTTAGAAACAACAACTTCCTACTGCGCTGTACATGTATGCACACGTATCACGTGTTCAGTAGCTGAGTCTGCGATTAAAGTTTCAGCCTGACTGAATCTCGCAAGGCTTTTGAGATATTTCAATCGGATAGGGTACATTCACACACACACAGGCTTGGATGCCTTGGATTATGATACCAGTGAATTACTTCATTGTGGTTCGCTTACCCTTTGCCCTTCTTCCTGCAAAGTGGCATTGATTGATTCAAAGTGCTTAGCAGAATGTTGCTGGATGGCCCTGAAGTTTTGTGTGGTCTGTAGAAAGAATTGAAATATAATCAAAGGAACTCACCTTCTCCTGGGCTTCCATTTGACTACCAAACATATGCGGACCCTAAAATGTCTGTTTTGAACATCTATGGTCCAAATGAAGCAAAAGCAAAATAATTATGCGTTTGCTTAGACACTAGGGGAAGTTAAGGCATTTTTGTACTTTAGGTATTCGATCAGTCTATGGTTGGTCATTATGATCACCTCTGATCACCGCTGGATATTATATTTGCAATAAATGCTGTGTTGCATATGGCCACTTGGATTGGAATTCTTAGAACAGTGTTTTTGATAGCAGTTTTCCTTACCTTCTTCTCCTGTGCTTGCTGAGATAAGTTCAATGACGTTATGTCCTCCTTAATGGATAGGAGTTTAACCTTGTTCTGCAAATACAGCGCAAACCAATATCCTGTGTGAAAGGAGCCCAAATGTTTTTGGTTGCCGAGAGATAGCTAGACTACACATTCACTCTGGTTGTCTGAGAATGCCAAAGTGTTCATTGCCTAGCTACCGATTTGGATCATTTCCATTAGTTATAGCTCTGGGAGAAAAGTACTCTGGCTGCTCTTCCGAGAGGTCACAAGTTACACTAGTCTCAAAATTCTATTCTCTCACGGATGACGTAGGTGTGGGAGCTTCCCAAAACTCGACTGATATTAAATCAGGCTGAGTGCTAAGAACCGATTCGACTTTCTACAGGAAAGGTCACGTGAGTTCAATGGAGACTTGGTCATGACATCACGAAGTCAAATCCTTACTAGACATCCTACTGTTTAGAAACAACAACTTCCTACTGCGCTGTACATGTATGCACACGTATCACGTGTTCAGTAGCTGAGTCTGTGATTAAAGTTTCAGCCTGACTGAATCTCACAAGGCTTTCGAGATATTTCAATCGGATAGGGTACATTCACACACACACAGGCTTGGATGCCTTGGATTATGATACCAGTGAAATACTTCATTGTGGTACGCTTACCCTTTGCCCTTCTTCCTGCAAAGTGGCATTGATTGATTCAAAGTGCTTAGCAGAATGTTGCTGGATGGCCCTGAAGTTTTGTGTGGTCTGTAGAAAGAATTGAAATATAATCAAAGGAACTCACTTTCTCCTGGGCTTCCATTTGACTACCAAACATATGCGGACCCTAGAATGTCTGTTTTGAACATCTATGGTCCAAATGAAGCAAAAGCAAAATAATTATGCGTTTGTTTGGACACTAGGGGAAGTTGAGGCATTTTGTACTTTATGTATTCGATCAGTTTATGGTTGGTCATTATGATCACCTCTGATCACCGCTGGATATTATATTTGCAATAAATGCTGTGTTGCATATGGCCACTTGAATTGGAATTCTTAGAACAGTGTTTTTGATAGCAGTTTTCCTTACCTTCTTCTCCTGTGCTTGCTGAGAAAAGTTCAATGATGTCATCTCCTCCTTAATGGATAGGAGTTTAACCTTGTTCTGCAAATACAGTGCAAATCAATATCCTGTGTGAAAGCAGCCAAAACAGTACTGCTACATATAGCTGTAGAGTGTCAGAAAAATTGTTGATTGTGATCAGATGTTTAAAAACCAAACGAGAAAGCCACAAGAGATTGTCACCTGAATTTCCATTTGGTCCACCTTCGTCTTCTGCTGGACAAATATGGTTGTCAGTACTTTCATGTCGGAGAGTAGTTTATTGATTTGGAGATCCCTTGCTTCCAGTTTCTCTTCCAGCTGCTTGTTGTAGGTTTTAACCGCTTCGATTTGGTAGCATAGCTCGCTGTTTGCAGATGATCCGCACAGATCAACTAGAACAGGTAAAAGCAGAGCAAAATCAACTGTTATCTCGGGTCCGTCCGTAATTATTCATCACTGCTACCAAACGAAACACATTGCATTTAGGCGTGTGTAGGACTGCTGTGTCCCTGTGTACGTACCCAGTAGGAATCAACAGACTTTTAGTCGGACTGAAAGTGAAATGGTATGCAGCTTTATAGGCATCCAAAAGACTAAGTGATATCGGTATGTTATGTCTATGGAGCTGGAAACGACCACATTGCCCGGTTCAGACCTTTCCAATGAGCCTCATATCTAGAAGGTCCATCAAGGTAGGGAATATGGGGTTCGAATTTGTTCCATGACGTGAATGCAGTTTTTGAAACGAGGTGCGTTGACAACCCAGTCGCCCTGGGAATACGAGGCCAACAGTGAACATGTCTCAACCCTTTCACTCAGTTACCATGCTCAAAAGAAAATCCCGGTTACATTTCCTTCAAGTCCATTTGGCACATCTCTACTCACAGATAGTGCAGTTCAAGGGTTTGACGATGCTCAGAAAGGAACAGAATGAAATCTAAAGATGATTGATGGTGGATGCTTTCCGTGACGAATACTCATGAGTATCTCTGTAGTCTGTACATGAATATTGAACTTCTGTGTCCTGTCCTTTCTGGACTCCAAAACAAACTGTATGTCTGCGGTTTCCTAGACCTGTCAAACTATACTGCATTCGACGCCATCAACAGTGTGACACTTACCTTGGCAGTTAGTACCATCTCCCTTGTACCCAGATTGACAGTAACAAGAGTATGATCCAACAGTGTTATTACACATTGCATGTTCATTACACTGATGTACACCAGTTGTACATTCATCGAGATCTGGACAGAGAGCGCAGTGGAATACATAGCAAAAAAGCATAGTCTTTAGGATGTTTGCACAGTATGAAGCAAAAATCTGCTTCACTTTTTTTTGCCATAGGATCTAAAAAGTCTGTTCGGCTTTCGAATCCAACCGAAAGCAAAGTGCCACACCATTATAAACTACTGTTCAGTGACTATAAGTAAAATGAAAGGCACACAATGGAATTTTCAAGAGCAGCTCAACCTAATTTGTCTAGGTTTTTGTTCCTTGGGTAACGCCTACCACATACATGTAGCTTAAGTCGAGCATGGCCGCCTATAAGCGAGGGTCCCTGGTTTGAGTCCTGGTCGTGACAATCAATGTTTTATTTTCATTTCCCGTTTCCAAATTTCCCTCAAACTAATTATTGACAACTTTCTCTCAAACTTAGAAAATGATGTTATTGTTATCGTCAATGGTGGGCAGAGTTGGTTGAATTCGGCTTGAATATGTCCGAGACGGAATGCAACATAGGCACAATGCCCTATATATTTTTAATATTAGTATTCACTGGTTTGAGGGAAAGACACAAGCGGGAAAAGTCTGAAGAAAAAATTGACTGTCACCACCAGGACTCGAACCAGGGACCCTCACTTGTAGCCAGCGATGCTCTTACCACTGAGCTATGGTATAGTCGTCATCCCAGCAGAGACCGTTCAAATTGCTATTAGGATAATATGTTTGAATCAGGCTAGGTCCTGTTCTAGCCCTGGGATCTTCACAAACTGCAATGTGCTCTGCCCTTCTCCTTTGTCTCCTGCTCTTGCCCCCTGCAAACACACACACGCCTTGGGTTACTGAAGCAAAGGCCCCAGGTCAGCGGAGATACGCCCGGATCACCACCACAACTGCGGTGCACACACACCTACTATGCAGTGCTTGTTCATCTGGTTCGCCGTTTTCGCCATCGAGTACAGTCACCCGTTGTTAGGTGCTGCATCTGCTGCAGTACTTCCCGCATGTAAGTGGACGAAGCATCCAGGAACGGTGATGCTAATAGCCGCTTTTTACAATCGCATCTTTTTAAAAGTCAGGATTTGTTAGTGGAACGCCTTTCTGTGCACTCACCCCTACACACTCGTCCGTTTCCATCAAATCCTGTATTGCACTCACACCCAAATGATCCAGGACTGTTATAGCATGTTGCAACAGCTGGTTGGTCACAGTAGTTCAGATTTGGCCGACTACATTCATCAATATCTATATTGGGGCACATACAGGACAACAAGGGCAATCAGGGCTTGGTTGCTGCTACTCAAAGTCTCATGCTCTCGCAATCATCAGGCAACATTGGTGCACATTGGGGCACATATAAGACAATTGAACAAATGGGTGTTAATAGATTGAAGTCTGGGTATTCGATAGAAGCCAATAATATTCGAAGAAAGAATCCGGCACGTTGAGCTTTATCCCTGTGGCTTTCTGGACAGAAGGCCAGTGAAGGCTACTATTTTATTACGGCCTAGATTCGTGCCCGGCTGAGTTTTGTCCTCCTGCGTATCAGTGTTGACTGCCTGCGAGGTGCTCACCCACCGATTCAAACCCTCACGTTGTCTTTGCGTGTGGTGCACTTGTGCTTCCTGAAGCTCGGATTGGTCCAGGAGCATTATGTTTCGGGAAATGAACGGATTTCCCTCTCTTTGCTTTTACCCCGGCTGTTCTGGCGTGGTCCACGTCTTGTTGTATTTTGGTTTTCAATTTTGCTTTGTGTCTTAGCGTTCAGCTTAGTTATCTGTGAGAGTGACGACACATGGTGTGAGTGTTTGCGTATGTGGATGTGGGAACGTATTACGGACTTTGCTGTCCGATTACCGGTGCAGAACCTTCTGCAGACTAGCATTATGAAAGAAACCAGCGTTGCACTCACCTACATCACACCTCTTTCCAGTCATTCCTGGTTGACAAACACAAACAGCGGACTGTTGTGTGGCGTTGAACACACATTCTCCAGCAACGGAGCAAGGTAGACGCCTGGTTAAGTCTGCTGTGGGGCATGACGGCCTTCGACCTTCAATGGGATTTCAGTGAGGACAGGACCAAACAAAATGAAGGAAACATGGACATGCAGCGGGTCCAAATCAATGAATGCAAAATGGATAGGCGACATCAGTGCATTGCCCCACTTTCCCAATATCCCACCTTGTAATAGTGTTTCCCTCAAAAACAGTGAATATTGTATGTATTCTTTTTGTATACATCTCCTGTAAATATAGCGTAGTTTGTCACTTAAACACACGGCGAGGAGACAACAATTTTATACCGCAATCAATAAAACTAGCTGAACCGACATTTGTGTACTTTATTCATGCAATGTAAAAAAACGGTTGAGACACCGCTAGGACATACGCCATTGTCTAAACACCGTCTAAGAAAAACTACATTAAGGGCGACACTACGGTTGTAATAGTTTTACCTTGACACTTCTTGCTTGTCTTATGGTAACACCTTGTGTTCCTACTATTCTCACTCCTGCGGTTCTCACCTTTCTTTTGCTTTATAACCTCTGGTTTGAACATCATTCGACGAATTCTCCAATCAATCAAGTCTAAACTGTTACACTGGTAGCTTGAGGATGGTTGAGATCATCGGTTGCCCTTTGACGTGCCTTGTGCTCCTGGCCGCTACTGCTCTGCTATACGCCGCTTTCCGTGAGATCCGCCGCGCTCGGGACAACGTGGCTGCTACAGTTGGACGACATCAATTACCTGCTACATCAAGCTCAAGTCCTCCGGATCTAGCCCCGTGTCGATCGCGTTCTCTCTCCCAGACAAGCCCGAGCGTCAAACGCGTTACCAGAGAACCGAATGTTTTCCATGGAAACCCTTCCGAGTTCAAAGAATGGGTATTTACGGTCGAGTTAGCCTTGAAGTGCTCACCTCAAGGTGACCCGGAGAGCCAAGTTAACTTTGCGACTAGCTACCTCGCTGGGAATGCGCGTCTTTGGCTAATTTCTTCCCTGGAAGCAGGTGAGCAATTTTCGGATTGGCATTCTTTGAAAAGCGCCCTAGCGCGAGTGTATGGCCCGCACTATGATGGGGAAAGAGTGCGGTTGGATATGTTCTCTATCCAACAGCGTGGGTCAATTGAATCGTACGTAACGGAGTTTTCTCGGCTAAGTTTACAGGTGCCGGAACTTGACGAACTCTCCAGAGCCTTGCTATTTGTCAACGGCCTGCACGGTAACATGCGGACCTTGGTAGTGAAGGAACGCCCCACTACACTGTCAGCCGCCGTTCAGTCAGCGCTATCAGTCGCCTCAGACAGCCGATTTCAGCGCAGACCACCACTGGCGACCGCGCCGGGATTCGCACCACCATCAGGTAGCAAAAAGCTAACAAAACTAAGCCCCGAGGAACGTGAGACATTACGAGCCCAGGGGGCTGCTTCGCATGTCGTCGACCAGGCCATATGGCCCAGAATTGCCCGCAGCATCGAGATCACCCAAACGGTGGACGTCAGTAAGGCCGATGCGATTACTGACGCAGCAAGAAAAGGCATCACCTGCGTGTAGTGTGTGCTCCGTCTCTACCCGTAACCGATTCAGTAGCCTCGCTGTGGAGGATGTTGACGATGATGCTGAATGCTCCGAAGCCAATTTCAAGCGAGATGTTACACCAACTATTGAGGCCCAGGTTACCAGCGTCAATGTGGAAACGGAACATGAGCTCCTGCGTGTAGAAGGCAAAATCAACGGTCGTCGCGCGCTTATGTTAATAGATTCGGGCTCGACCCATGATTTCATTGCCGAACAGTTTGCCAGGAGAGTTAACCTGCCAACCGAAATTGGCTCGGAAAACCTGAATGTCACGCTGGCTGATGGAGCATCAAGCTCGTTTCCCATGGAGACGACCCATGAATTGAAGGTTATCGTAGGCGACTTCAGCGATAACCAAACCTTCACGGTGTTCCCCCTTCATCGCTATGACGCTATATTGGGGAAACCTTGGTTAACGCGTAACAATCCAGACATAAACTTCCGGACGAATGAAGTCAGGTTGAACTCGAATGGTTTGCCTTGTGCGTCGCCCAGTCAAAGCGAACCGACCGCTCCTGTGGAGGCGATGTTCATATCTGGTCGTCAGGCTAGGCATGCCCTTAGGAGTGGAGACGAAGGTGTTCTGGCGTGGGTCAGCGTAGAAGACGGCATTGGCAAGGAACCTCCCGACAAATCCACTCAGAACGAGCACCCACATCTCAAGGCCATGTTCCGTGACTATGACGATCTTTTCCCGGATGATCTGCCAGCTAGACTCCCACCAGAGAGGTCTGTAGACCACGAAATCCGCCTGGAGGAAGGCTCATCACCCCCATCGCGACCTGCCTATCGCCTGCCCAGGCCAGAAATGGAGGAATTGAAGAAACAGCTCACAGAACTCTTGAAAAAGGGTTTCGTAGAACCAAGTAAGTCCCCCTTTGGTGCACCGGTGTTTTTTGTCAAGAAAGCTGATGGTTCGTTACGCATGGTCTGCGATTGGAGGGAGCTAAACAAGATAACTGTTAAGAACAAGGCGTGCTTGCCCAATGTGGATGATTTATTCGATACCGTACAGGGCGCTAGGTACTTCACGAAACTAGACCTCCGATCAGGGTATAATCAGATTCGCATTCAAGCTGAGGACGTGCCCAAAACCGCGATTAACACTCCCTTTGGGCATTACCAATTTAGGGTCATGGGATTTGGTCTCACCAATGCACCGGCAACATTTCAATCCATGATGAATACGATTCTTCAACCATATCTGAGGGAGTTCGTAGTCGTGTTCCTAGATGACATACTCATCTTCAGCAAAACGTGGTCGGAGCATATGCAGCATGTCCGGTCGGTATTGAACGTGCTCCGGGACAACCAGTTATTTTGCAAACGGTCAAAATGTGAATTTGGCGTGGAGAGTGTGCGGTTCCTGGGACATTGCATCGATGGACTGCACATCGCCCCTGACCCAGACAAGATTGCCGCAGTAAAGGTCTGGCCCGCTCCGACTTCCGTCACAGAGGTGAGGCAATTTCTTGGATTTACGAATTATTTTAGGCGATTCATAGATCAATACTCATCGCTCTCTAAGAACTTAGAGGAGATAACGGGAAAACATGCACGATTCGAGTGGAACAGCTCTCGGCAACATGCCTTTGAATCGCTAAAGCATGCCTTGTTGAATGCGCCCCTATTGCGGCTGGCTGATGTGAACCGACCATTCAGAGTGGTAACAGATGCAAGCGATTTCGCCTTGGGATGTGTTCTTCTCCAAGAACTAGAGGAAGATGCCTGGCATCCAGTGGCTTATGCTAGCCGAAAATTGTCTGCTGCGGAACAGAATTATACAGCTACAGAAAGAGAAACATTGGCCGTAGTGTTTGCGCTAAAGACCTGGCGCATCTACCTCTTTCAACACTTTGAGGTCATTACAGACAACATGGCGGTAGTTTATCTGAAAACAAAACCAAGCATTACAAAGAGAGAGGCGCGATGGGTTGAATTCCTAGCTGACTATAACTACACAGTCCGTCACAGACCCGGCAGAGAGAACCCTGCAGATCCCCTTTCGCGTCGCCCAGATCTCCATGAGAGTAACCTCGTGGAGAATGCAGTACCACGTTTGAATGCTATTGAGTATGCTTTAGCAATGAATGATGACGTGTCCAATACAATATCAGATGCCTACCAGAGAGACAAAGAGCTAACTCCCATCATAGAAAGATTGAAGCATTCTCTCCGAGATAATTTGCATGATCGCTATTATTGGGACGAATCCACTGATCGCTTGTACCTCAAGGCATCCCCCAATAACCGGTTGTGCATACCACAGTGCGGTGTCCGGTTAAAGCTCATTCAAGAACACCATGAGTGTGCAACGGCTGGCCACCCGGGTCGTGATCGAACGTACTTCCGCCTAGCACGTTTTTTCTACTGGCCCCGAATGGGTCTCGATATCAAGAGATTTGTCAAAACCTGTGATCTCTGCCAGCGAACGAAGGGAGGTCAGCCACGAACAGGGCTTCTCCAGTCACTTCCAATACCTAATAGTCCTTGGCAGGATATCTCAATGGATTTTATTGTTGGATTGCCCCTTACTTCTCGTGGCTTCGACGCAATTTACACCTTTGTGGACCGACTTACGAAATGCGTACATCGTGTTCCAACAAACTCGAAGATTGATGCTAAGGGCAGCGCTCAACTGTACATTCAAAACGTGTTTCGTCTGCACGGGCTGAGCTCAACCATTGTTTCCGATCGCGATCCACGATTCACTGCAGCTTTTTTCAAAGAAGTATTCTCTCAGCTAGGAACTAAATTGGCATTCAGCACTGCTTACCACCCTCAAACGGATGGTTTGACAGAGAGAGTTAACCGGCAAGTGGGAGATGTTCTAAGAGCATTTGTGAACTTGAGACAGGACAATTGGGATTCGCTTCTACCACTCTGCGAGTTTGCAATAAATAGTTCACAACAGTCATCTGTAGCTAATACACCGTTCTATCTGAACTATGGGTTTGACCCTAAGTCCCCGCCCGAATTCATTCTTACGGGAGGGGAAAGGAGTGATTCGGTCGATTGGCTTCATGAGCAGGAAGCCGCACTAAGGATAGCTCGAGATGCTATGCTCGACGCCCAGGCAAGGCAAGCTCTATACGCAGACCAGACGAGAACGCCCAGTGATTTGAAGGTTGGTGATAGCGTTCTTGTCTACAGAGACTTTCTACTGACCCCGGAAGCTCGTGGCCAGCCCTCTCGGAAGTTGCAACCCAAGTGGTTTGGTCCGTATCGTATCCAGGCTAAGATTGGAGCGAATGCTTTTCGCTTGGAACTACCCCGTGAACTTCGCTGCCATCCCGTGTTTAATGTCACTGCTCTTAAACGCTACGAAGAGAACACGATTCCTGGAAGACACCAACCCCCGCCTCCGCCCTTCACAGATCTAGATGGACACACACGCTATGTTGTCGAAGCCGTTTTGAATCACCGACACCGCAGTGGTGAGCAACACTTCCTGGTGCATTGGAAGGGTTACCCCAGCAGCGAAGCTACGTGGGAGCCCGCTGGCAACCTATGTGATGAGTCCGGTCGGAATATTAAACCGCTGCAGAACTATCTAGCCTCACAACGACAGCAGCCTTGATCTAACTGGGCTGAGCCATATGCATCTCTTACTGAGATAGTTAATAATTATGTTATAGACTGATATAGTTTTGCGTCATCTCCTTGTGAGAGTGATGAAGTTGAGTTGGATTACACTTCAATGTGGTTATGCATGTGCATGAGTGATTATTTAATATTCCCCTTTCCACAATTGCATCTCCTAACTGGATTGTGTTATCTAATAGAACCTTGGGCTTCCTATGGGGCCGGGAGAGTGTAATAGTTTTACCTTGACACTTCTTGCTTGTCTTATGGAAACACCTTGTGTTCCTACTATTCTCACTCCTGCGGTTCTCACCTTTCTTTTGCTTTATAACCTCTGGTTTGAACATCATTCGACGAATTCTCCAATCAATCAAGTCTAAACTGTTACAACGGTAATGAAAACGTGCTTTCAGCGTTAGATTCAGAACATCTATCTGAGGCCGGGTGTATCTCGATTTAAAATATTTAAACACACGGCGAGGAGACAACAATTTTATAACCGCAATCAATAAAACTAGCTGAACCGACATTTGTGTACTTTATTCATGCAATGTAAAAATAAAATATTTAAACACACGGCGAGGAGACAACAATTTTATAACCGCAATCAATAAAACTAACTGAACCGACATTTGTGTACTTTATTCATGCAATGTAATTCTTAGACGGTGTTTAGACAATGGCGTATGTCCTAGCGGTGTCTCCACCGTTTTTTTACATTGCATGAATAAAGTACACAAATGTCGGTCCAGCAAGTTTTATTGATTGCGGTTATAAAGTTTGTCACTTGTGCCACTTAAAGGCAAGAGTCTTTGTCTGTAAAAACCAAACATCACCCGACATCGCCAAGTTTCCGACTAAGCTCAAAAGTTGGCTTCTTTTCCCTAGGTGGACCTCATTCACCCACTATGACAGTTTGCTCTAGAAACCCTTCGTTCTTTAGAAATTGACCAAAATCAAAAATACGATAAAATACGAACTGGAACACCTCCAAACATGGCCGTTGGAGAGTTGGAGAGTTCGAAATTTCCCCCAAGTGATTTTTAGTGAATAAAACACCACTTGTTACCGATTTTCGACATGTTCTAGTAGACTATGGTGGTTGTCTACTTCCCTAGCACTTCCCTAGTTCTTCCAATTTCAGGATGTAACCCCGCTGCTGCTGGCCCTTAAAGATGGCCTTCGTAATGGGCGCCATTGGAGAGGCTGAATTGATCGATTCATTCGAGGGATTCAGCAAGTCGCCAATAGAAAGTTGGATGGCTAAACATTACTAGGTAACTTGGATCGGTTTGTGAACATAGTTGGTTTGGCTGCGCTGTGTTGTTCTGAGCAGCAGTGACCCCTCTGGACCAAACTGTCATAGTGGGTGAATAAGGTCCACCTGGGGATAAAAGGAGCAAAATCGGAAATTTGGCCATTTTGGGTGATGTTTGGTGGTTACAGACATTGACTCTTTAAAATGTGTAAATTCTCTACCAAGTTCTCACAAGAAGCGCCTCCTATGCCAACTTCACCATCAGTTGGCTATTGACGCCTCGTCGACGGCGGCATATACGGCATAGCTGGCTGGTACGTCAGTTTGTATGGTGTAGGGAACCTAATGTACTGAGCATCGCTTTGTATTGGGCTCGATCTGGTCAAAGCTACTGCACATTCATGTGTGGCATGGTCTACAGACATGACCCTACAAGTGCCAACATCCAAACTACGAACACGAAAGGTACCTATGTCAGACACTTCAGCAACCATGCATGGCTGTACGTCTTAGTGCTGGCAAGGAAGGCAAAATATTGCACTTTGGTACGCCACTGTTGACAGAATGTGGGGCCGCTTTATGCAGGTCAGGTGCGGCACTTGGTATGCTAAAAGTGGTGCCACGCAGCGCAGGTGGCTGCTGTTTCTGGTGCAGTGTCCATGCAAAAATGCCAGGAATGGAAAATTGCAATCACAATTGGGTGGTCACTGATACAAGAGATAAATTATACCCGGTTTTTAATGTTACACTACTGGCAGAAATACCAGGGTGAACTTACGAATGCAGTGTTTGAGGTCTGCTGCAAGCTGGGGGGCGTAACCCAAGATGAGACTTAAGAAGAATTGCTCTTGGTGCTTGACAACCTTCTCATCTAACATTGCATGAATGGCAGCTGGTGTGTTGGGAATGGTGAGAGCTCTTCCACGACTGGAGTTCGCAATAAGTAGCCATTCAGTCATGCAATTGATATCCTCAGTGACCATCGCAGCTGGTGTATCTATTGACAAAGCGACAACATATTGGAAATTGGAAATTGACGATCAGAAATTTAGAAATTAGATACTAGTAGCTACGCTTAATGATCATTGTGAGGTCACGGCTGTGTCTGCATACCCTAAGGCTAAGCGTGGGGCTGTCTCTCATTAGAGTTTGTGTGCAATCATCTCTCATCCTTCTACGGGACTATGCAAGCATAATTATTATAAGTATCTCCTCGGTGGAATGTAATATCGGTATGACACGTCCACAGCTTTGGTTTTGCCGAATGGCTTCCATGAGAGGAGAGAAGTAAAGACTTTACAAAAGTATTTTTGCTAAGTATTAGAAGCCATGCATTGCTAGGATATAACCAAGATTGAACTACCTGAGACAGGAGCGACCGTTCCAAATCGGACTTTAATTGGGAGCTATCATCAAGATTCCGGGTACAAACACATTAAAACCATGTCCTAGTAATGGTACGAAATACCTCATCAGATTTTCAACTTCGTCTCTTCGGGCGCTAATATTATTTCCTCATGTTGCGTGGTGATGTCTGCGGCATTCATACTGTTCTTAGCTCTTATAAAACCTACACATATGGCTGACTGATTTTCTGGCCTGCCTGCGAATCATGAAGTCCCGAGTTCGAGACTCGCGCTGGTAGCATGGATCGTGTAAAAAGACTTTTTTACGTGTGGTGAACTGCGCCGACGGCCACGGTCAACTGGGTACTCACAGCTCGTAGAGCCCCTACTATCGCCGATATCGCACTAACCTCTTCAGTATAAAACCATTGTCTCCATATATATGCGCTTATACCTCACTCCATATACACCCACACTCATATACCAGATCTCCCATGAAGTTTATAAATTTCCATATACACTGTTCAATATACACCACTAAGGAGGTATATACACCACTGAGGAAAACCATCAGAAAAAAACTCACTGAGGAGCTTTCTTTCTCTAAAAAGGAGTGTATAATTATAGCTTTCTCTCTAAAGCTATATTCACTCCTTTTTGCTCTTGAGCTTGCGCATGGAGAGGTATAAATATATTATAACAAGAGACCTCGTGTATATCGAGAAATATCGACCAGTTATAAAAACCTCGGCTTCGCTTCGGTTTTTATACTGGTCTATATTTCTCGATATACACTCGGTCCCTTGTTATAATATATACATAATATATGTTGAGTGAGCTATCGTCAAGATAAAATTTGTGCCAGTGCCTGTTGTTGTTGTTGAAATTTTATTTTGTATCGCAGACCAAACGGGCAATGGTGCCCAATATTATGATGTGAATGGTGCCCAATATTATGATGGCGATAAAGTAACGGCCGAGAGCCAAGGATACAACAAGCAAGCCTCCGCGAAAGAGAGAAAAACAGAGAAAACACAGACTGCAAATACTCAAAAAGAAAAAGAGAAAGGGAAAAAAAAGAAAAAGAAAGAAGAAGAAAGCACAGTTGAGTCACGACTCCAAGTCCAAGCCTAGATGCTGGCTAACCATAAAAATATACCTTTAAAAGTCTCTTGAATGATCTATGGCAGGCGAGGGACTTGAACCCTTGGGGCAGGGCGTTCCATAATTTAACAGCAGAAACGAGCGGCCGGTAGAATGACCCCCCAGGCAGATGGACCCCCGGGCATTGTACTATATAGTAGAGTGACCCCGGGGTCACTCTACTATATAGTACAATGCCCGGGGGTCGTTCTACTATATAGTAGATTGCCCCCTGTCATTCTACTACAGAGTCCACCAGACTTGTCGTTTCGCACGTGCAGGTAGAAAGGGATGGAGTTTACACCACAGATTCCACGTGGACATTATGGGAATGGCCCACGCCATGGTCAACGGGTCAGCTCTGCAATTTGACGGAACAACTGGTGACGACTACCTCCAAAGGAAGAAGATGCGAGAACTTGGAGTTTGGGGCACAAACGATGAATGCCAAGCGGTTGCCGACTGGCTTCAAGTTCCTGTATTTGTTCTTTGCCAGTTTGGAAGTCGTCTGAGCTGGCAGAAGCATACACCTCGCAGTGCAGGCAAGAACCAGTTTGGGATTTACCTCGACAATTCCTCTGGGTGCCACTACAATATTGTGATGTCTGTTGGACGAACGTAAAATATATGCAACATATTGTGCGTGCATCCTCCCCTAGCTTTCATTCAGTGTATTGATGATTGTTACTTTTTGATCTAGGGGATTACTGTGACTTTTCTCCTTGCCCCTAAAACTGTTTTCTCCTTGGTTTGTCTAATATACAGCGTATGAGGGGGGTCGTTGTACTATATACCAGGTAGTAGAGTGACCCCGGGGGCATTCTACTATATAGTACAATGACCGGGGGGGGGGGGCCTTCCACTACGGGGGTCATTCTACTATTGACCTTTGACGCCCATCGCCGGAGGCGATGATAGCAATGCTACGGCAGAAGCCATAGCAACTTGTGCTGGGATTACACCATTCAACAGCTTGCAAGGCTGAAGAATTGACCGTCACTATTCAGCCTGGTCTACACCATACAGCTATTTGGAGTGACATTTTCTGGCCAGTGAATCCCTTTTTTGGTCTTTTTCATTTTTTTCTTTTTTCTCTTTTTTTTTCCCGCACACACATCACACCACATACTCCGGCATGCACTGGCTGTTGGTAACCACCCAGGAGAATGAAAGAAAAGTCAGGAAGAGTCTGAGAAAGAGAAGAAAGACGTGTGTGACCATAATCGTCGGGAATCGAACCCGCAATCTATCGATTGGAAATCGCTGCACATACCACTGCACCATATGGGACACTATATGACACCGGCAGTCACCAGAGACTCGCCTGGTGGCAGGGATAACATACGCATTTGGATCGTTGATCCGAGTGACGCCTTCAGTCTGGCGACGTAGGCGCTTGGACAGGAGATTACTAATTCTGGCGGTGTGGATACGAAGCATGAGGAGGCGGAGTTTACAGTGGGCGTTTTGGATGATGGTGATGAGGCCTAGACGGGTGTAGATGGGATCTGTGTGGGATGGGAATGGCTGGTTGGCAACGCAGCGGATACATCGCTTGTCGAGGACCGAAAGCTGATGCCGTTGGTGCACAGAGAGAACCGAGAAGAAGGCATTAGATCCATACAACATGTCCGGTAGTATTAACGATCTGTAAAATAGCAGGGCTTGTTGCTCAGTTAAGCAGGAGCGAATGGCTCGCAGCGCCGTCAGTTTCTGGGAGGTCTTCCGTGTAATAGTTGCAACTTGAGTCTCCCACCGAAGCTGGGTGTCGAGATGTAGACCTAGATATCGAGCATTTGTGGTCTGAGCTAGGGGATTTCCATTGCATTCTATGTAACAAGGGCTGCCTGCGAGACGCATGATGGGCTAGAACGTGGGTTTTGGAGGGATTTAGTATTAAGTCTCTTTCTTCCAGAAAGTTGGCCAGGTTGGAGACTGAACGGGAGAGGGTTAAATTCAAGAATTCGACGGATTGACTGATGGCGTCTAGCAGGATATCATCAGCAAACAGCTGTGAGTGGGCTGGAGCTGTGATCTGTTCTATTTCCATTGTGTAGATGGAGAACAAAAGAGGACCCAGCACACTTCCCTGAGGAACACCACACTCACAGGGAGAGAGGGCGGACGACTGGCCATTGCTCAGGACGACTCGCTGACGGCGGTCAGTTAGGTAGCTCATGAACCAACTGAGCGCAGTTGAGGTAATACCAAGCTGAAATAGATCTGTAACCAAAATTTGGTGTTTGACCTTATCGAAGGCCTTGCTCATATCGACAAGTACAAGACCCGTATGGCGCTGCTGATCCGCTGCCTCCAAAAATCTGTCTACAGCCAATGTCAGGGCATCTACTGTGGAGTGAAGTGGGCGATATGCGAACTGGTTTGCGGGGAACAAGGAATTTCCGGAGAGGAACTTACAGAGTCTCGTGTGGACTACCCGTTCTAGGACTTTGGAAACTATTGGTAATAACGATATTGGTCTATAGTTCTTAGCGACAGCTTTGTCGCCTGACTTGAAGAGGGGACGAACATCCGCAATCTTCAGAGATGCAGGAACAACACCAGAAGCCAGAGATGCATTGATTAGTATGGTGAGGGACGGTGCAAGGACAGGAGAACAGTGTTTGAGGATTGCAGCTGGAACCTGGTCGCTGCCTGCAGCTTTGCGCACGTCGATGTTGGAGAGCAGCTTAGCGATCTCTTGCACACTTGCTGGAGCCAATTCTTCGGGGCATTCCTTCTTCGTGGGACCCAATGGGGCTGAGAGACGTAGTGGTCTAGTTGGGTCTGACACAACATCGCTGAATTGGTCACTGAGCTGTGAGACACTGACGGCTGGTGGAACTGAGGACTTGTTACGACAGCTGAGGTAGTTGATGGTCTGCCAGGTTTTTCGTGCGTTGGCCTGACTAGCAACAAGAAGGCCCCTAAAGTAGGTGGCTCGGAGATGTCGTGACATACGCTTGGCTTCGTCTCGGGCAGAAGTGAAGACATTGCGTAGTGCCGGGTCTGCAGGTGATGCTTTCCACCGTCGATGGGCCGCGTCACGTCGCTGGACGAGGTCATGTAGAGTTGTGAGACGTATCCCCTCACCTCTATGGCCAGGTGCTGCATCTGCCGCTGGGTTTAATGAGTGTTATCGACCTTCGTCAGTTCCATTCCGGACTGGAACTAAAAAAATTACTTTTACAATTTGAACAATCAGATGTCACAATCTAGCACAAAAGCACGTCGGACTGTTCAAAATCTGGTTTAGTTGGTGGACTCGATCGCACAATTGTGCCCACACATTCGCACGGTATAATAATTCCTTGGCTCACCAGCTAAGTTAAAAAATAGAAAATAATGTACTTTGGATGATAAATGGAGAAATGTTCACGAAGATTACACCTGTTGTCTGACTACATCTTTCATTTTCGGGAAAATAAAACCCGACAAGCACCTTTACCACACACTCGGTTGTGACCAGAGCAATAATGATGACTTTCAATTCAAGCACTTATTTTTGCTGTGTTTTTTTCCAAAGGCTTATTGTAAATTTTTACGAAAGGTGAAACGATATCCACGTGGTGGATCTGTATACATGTACATGCACAACATACAAAAGCGAGTATTCCCAGATTTCCCAGAGTGCTCACACACAAGGATGGAGCAATACCACAAAGACAAAAGAGAGCAGAGACAACAGTCCAGATCAGTGTTGTAAAGCTGCGTTTCAAACATGTATGGTAGGGCTAAGGTAAATCTCAGACAACTGACTCAGTTGTCTCAGGTTTACCATGGCCTTGCTATGTACATGAAACGCGTTTCAACAATGATCTAACTGGTTTGCTCTATTCACGTATTCAATCTACAATGTACACTGTACATGCATGCCATGCATTACTTTCTTGCATGCACGTAGTGGCTGGCTGCTTTGACAAGTTCCTGTCATACAGCTGTCAACAGACCAGCCCTGTGACTCAGGGCATACATGACTTCATGCTTAGACTAGTTAGAGATCATGCAATACTGTTATGCTACAATGCTGGTACATGTGTGTACATATTGTTAGATGTATAATTATGTACACATACAATGGAGACAAAATGCTGTGCACCTGTAACTTCAACGTCTTGGCCATCATCACACAGCAGCACTTGGATGCATGCTAAATGCTGCTGTATGATAATCACCGAAATGAAAGTTGAATTTACAGCCACACGCTTCCGCCTCCATTATGTCATCACTGTTCTATACATTAGTTCATAGAGCACGATTCAAGCGGCCTCGACCAATCTGAATGTTTAGATAGTTCTTTTAAAAAACTGTTTCTGACCGGTCATAATAAAATCGAATGGAGTTTCATGCAAATCACACCGCTGATTGCCATAAACGTCAACACACACACAAGATAACAATGTACATGTACGTCGTCTACAACGTACGTGGTGTTTGACTGTTATCAAACTTCTTACCGGCATCATCCGGCACCACTGGTGTTGGTGAGGCCATAGCCTGTCCACAGTTCACCGTCATCACCAGCAGCAGCAATGGAGCCAGATACAGTAGTAGGTATGCCATGATACTGCCTAGCTGTAGGCTGCGCATAGCTACACCTGATGATACCAGAGGTTAGTTCGCAGTATCACTAACAGACTACTGGGTTAGCTCTCTGACTCGAGAACACCTGATGATCAACTGGAGAGGATTTGATTGAGCAAAATGAATTGTGGGCCAGTCAACGTTTTCAGCACCTAATATCCTAACTCACTGCCGCTCATGTACATACGTTGAGCGGAGTACAGCTTGAATATGTACATTGCGGCCTTGGCGGCTCCAAATCCGTGCCTGGAACGGCGATCGCGAGTCACCTCACGCCCTAGTATTGACAACCTGTCTGGTTCCAGAACATGACACTGACAGTTTGCCACACAATAAACCAGTCCATGCCATGGCTGACAAAGCCACTTTGTCCTACATCACGTAGATGTACGCCTGTACACAGCTAAGCATGACCGTGGTGTCTGCACTCTTGCAGTTGCTAGGTGATGTGTGCTACTCCAAGTACATCGACGAGTCTACTACATAACAAGGTTTATCTAATACTGGTTTTGAACCAGTATTAGGTTATAATAATAATAATACTAATTATTATTATTATTGCAAATAAGTCTTCGGCTGAGGCTCTACAACGCCTACGTCATCCCAGTCCTTACCTACAACTGCGGCACTTGGGGCCTACCGATGTCGGAGCTCGCGCGAATGGATTCGTTCCACAGGACCCAGCTAAGGAGCATCATCAACATGTGGTACCCTAAACGAATTAGCAATGACACTCTGTATAAGCGCTGCGGAGCTGTCCCCATCAGCGACATGATCACAAGGCAGCGCTACAGTCTCGCTGGCCATATCTTTCGTTTGGCCCCAACTGCTCCTCCACAGTTGGCAGTGGATATGTATCTTCGCCTGGCCAACGACGAGGGCACTGAACGCTTCAGGGGTCGACCTCGGACGACTTTGGTAACGGTCTTACAGACGGAACTGTTATCATGGCATGGACTTACCCTCCACCAGCCGCTAGATGTTGACGCAGTCCGCACAATGGCAGCGGACCGACAGGCATGGCGTGGAGCCCGCCCCACCTAACAGGACTGACCAGACATGTTGTATGCATATTTATATTTTATACTTTGGATGAAGTTTTCCATTAGTCATATTTGTGTTGTTGCTAACGGCTTTTGTTGACGTCACTTCTGTCATTTCATTGTATCGTATTACTCTTCAGACATCAATCCTGAATGGCATAAGCGAAAGTGGCACCCCCGCCACCTACGCGGACATGCTTTTAATAAATAATAAATTGCAAATAACGCTGAGTAATTACACGAATGCATAAAAACCAGCATTTGCTTCCGGGAAGGATTCACAAACATAAGACAAAAACACCATGGCTCAATGTAACTGCACATACGAAAAGCAGCATCTATTGTCAAGTTCGAGTGGCAATGTCAGAAAGATGGTAGACTGTTCGGCGTGCACGATGTTCAACCTGCAGGTATTATTATAATAATACCATGTACGAAGTAGTGGTTGTGACTTCGGCGATGATTTGTAAGAAAGGTTTGCTCCCCACACCGGAGCTCGCGCTATTCCGCCGACTTTACTTGACACTTGACTGACTCACGACTGCCATCCAGAGCACACGAGAAGTCCATCGAACCTTCGACTCGGCAAACCTGCAAGAAAGCACCACTCCCTGCTCAATACACAGTGTTTCGGGGAATTCACCCCTCATCAGTTGAGCTTGAGTAGGCTGATGAAGATTGTGCCTGAAGAGCACCACTTATATAGTGCTCTCCAGGCACAAACATCACCAGGGATACAAACTTACAGAGACGCTCCGCTTCCAGCGCGATAAACACCTCGTGAACACCAGATAGCATCGTGAGTCAGTGTCGCTCCTGGACGGTGAGACAGACGTCGAGGACCCTCGGTCATTCGCAACGCTGTCACCTCCAAACCAACTAGTCGCAAGCCCGCGCTGGGCACAACAGTACGAAGTAGTGGTTGCGACTTCGGCGATGATTTGTAAGAAAGGTTTGCTCCCCACACCGGAGCTCGCGCTATTCCGCCGACTTTACTTGACACTTAACTGACTCACGACTGCCATCCAGAGCACACGAGAAGTCCATCGAACCTTCGACTCGGCAAACCTGCAAGAAAGCACCACTCCCTGCTCAATACACAGTGTTTCGGGGAATTCACCCCTCATCAGTTGAGCTTGAGTAGGCTGAGGAAGATTGTGCCTGAAGAGCACCACTTATATAGTGCTCTCCAGGCACAAACATCACCAGGGATACAAACTTACAGAGACGCTCCGCTTCCAGCGCGATAAACACCTCGTGAACACCAGATAGCATCGTGAGTCAGTGTCGCTCCTGGACGGTGAGACAGACGTCGAGGACCCTCGGTCATTCGCAACGCTGTCACCTCCAAACCAACTAGTCGCAAGCCCGCGCTGGGCACAACAGTACGAAGTAGTGGTTGCGACTTCGGCGATGATTTGTAAGAAAGGTTTGCTCCCCACTCCGGAGCTCGCGCTATTCCGCCGACTTTACTTGACACTTGACTGACTCACGACTGCCATCCAGAGCACACGAGTGGTGCTTTCTTGCAGGTTTGCCGAGTCGAAGGTTCGATGGACTTCTCGTGTGCTCTGGATGGCAGTCGTGAGTCAGTCAAGTGTCAAGTAAAGTCGGCGGAATACCATGTAGTTAATAGTAATATAATCCAGCTCAACCACATTTGGCGACACCAATATTCCGTTCTACCTACCAATGATCGACACTGACCCACGCTGCTTTCTGGCGTCACGTGGTGATTGCCGCACTGGAAACCGAGTGTCTCTGTACGTTTCCAGGCCTGGTGATGTTTGGAACCACAACATTATACAACCTTGTTGTGGTGCTCTTCGGACAGAATCTTCCTCAGCCCACTCAAGCTCAACTGTTGAAGCGAGGATTCCCGGAAACATGGCGCATTGACCAGAGAGTGGTGCTTTCCTCGTGAAGTCAAGTCAGCGGGAAAGCGCCAGCTCCGGTGTACGGAGCAATAAACGTTGATATGACTGGAAAAAAAACTTTCGCATGAAAATGATGAATGGATGATGGATGAAGAATGAAATATGTTGAAGTTATGGGCGTGATCGTTTGGTCGGATCCAGATCCAGATCCGTCGGATCCACTGGATCTGCAGTGATCGATTGGTCGGATCCAGATCCAGATCCTTCGGATTTGGATCCGAGCAACCCTGCCCCGGGAGCAGGGTTGACCGGATCCATCGGATCCAAATGTGGCCTTTGTGCGTGTATGGCGGGTAAAACTCGTTTTTGTACTCATTGTCGTACGCGCCCACGTGGATCGAGATACGGTTCGCTCGTAGCTAGCATTCCGAATATGCACTTTTCTTGCTCTGATCATGAAATCGAGATGGGCAGAAGAGAAGAAGAAAAAGCTTTCATTTTCGTTCAGTCCTTTCCTTTTCCGACTCCGTTAGCTTGCATTCTATTCATTATGTCTTGTCCGACACCCACTGGAGCAGACCGTAGGCCTGGATTTCAGTGGAGCAAGCGACTGACCATGGAACTAATAGCAGCAAGATCGGACAATGACCATCTATTTCAAGACGTAAATTGGCGTAAAAGAAGTGTGTGGGTGAGGATTGCAGAAAGGATTGCACGTGCGTTTCCAGATGAAGTGTTGCTACCCACCAGTGAACAGTGCGAAAATAGGTGGAAGAGCCTAATGAAAGTGTATAAAGCGTACATGGACAGCCAACAAAAGACTGGGAGTGCACGAAAGCCTCCCCCGCCGTTCTTCGAGGACATGAACAATGCGTTTGGTTGGAAGCCGAACATCACGCCTGTATGCATTGGTGGTTCTCTAGTCCCAAACCAGGCTTCAAAACGACCTGCAGTTTCGACAAGTTTGGGGTCAGATGAGGAAAGTGACAGTGATGGTGAGGAGGTGGCCGTAGTTGCTCCACAGGCACAACTACCAGTACAACCTGAAGTACCAGCAGCAACAGCAGCAGCAGTACCAGCTGAAGCGGCAGTGCCAGCAGCAGCAGCAGCACCTATAGCAGCTGCAGCGGCAACACCTGCAGTAGCAACTGTGGAAGCAGCAGGCGCTGAACGCCCTGTGAAGAAGAGGCGTAAGCGACCTACCAGCCAACCGAATGACGCTCTCGCCTGGCTAAAAGAATCCAAGGAGCGAGATCGTGAATCACAAGAGCGTCGTCATACCGCGCAGATGACGATGCTTTCGAGCCTCACTGAAGCAGTGAACAAGCTTGCTAACGCAAATTGAAGTGGAGATTTTGTTCCATACATGTACATATCTTCAAACAGATCTGCTACATCTGTTCCTTTCATGATTATTGGTTTCTTTTACTGCGTTGTTTCCGATACCATAATATATATAGTAGTCCTTTTATGTTCAAGTCATGCTCCATAATTATACCAAAGATGTTGATTTCTCTACCTCACTGTCCGTGTGTGTGTGTGTGATTGAGTGTGTGTGATTGTGTGTGTGTGTGTGCATGTGTGTTTGTTTGTGCACTAGTATGGAGAGGTAAAAGGGAGAAACCATACCCATAATGTATGCATGGAGGGAACCACTTGCTTGAAGCTCACCAAATTAATTGAAATTATACAACACATGCTTAGGGATGCTCAAACTCCAATGCAGCGTGTCCCTTGCAGCTTGCACTTCAAACGCATTCATTCTACGTCAACGAGCAGGCACGAGGTGATGAGTTTGCACATCATATCTTCTGCCCAGTGGGCATTACCAGGCATTAATGAGGAAGCAGAGGCAAAACACAAAATACAATAAAAAAAACAGCCAAAGCAAAAGTTCTACATCCCAAAGGCAGGCTGTAGAAGGGAATAAATGACGAGTTTGCACATCACATATCTTGCATAGTGGACATCATCAGGTCATTGATGAGGAAGTGAAGGCAAAACACAAAACAGAAAAAATACCAAAGCCAGATGAATGCGGTAGAATTCACAAATCCAGGTCACGCAAAACAGCCAGTCTTCAATTACCCAAGGCTTGACTATTGACGTGGCATGAACGTGTATCATGCAATGAGGTCAACAATGCGATCCCGCTTGTGGACGGCGCCAATGTTTGGCTGGAAGTGCAAAGTGGGGTTGGGGACATCACCTTCAGGCAGATCGTTCAGAAAGTCGTTCACGTCGTCTTCATGCATGATGGCCATGTTGTGCAGTACGCACGCGGTGAGGACGATGTGTGTCATATTCTCCACATTCGTCACATTCAAATACTTCAGCTGTCTCCACCTCCCCTTCAGGAGTGCAAATGCCCGCTCGATGCACATCCGGGTCGATGAATGCTTGTAGTTATAGTTTGTTTGAGCTGCTGTGAGATGGCCGTCGTCTCTGAAAGGAGTCATTACCCATGACAACAAAGGATATGCCGAATCTCCGACAATAAATGACTCACCAGGGAAGAACTGGTCAACATCGGCTGTGGCAAGCTGTTTAAGCGGACTGTTGTCAAAGACACGTGCATCGTGGACGGACCCCGGCCACCCGCAGTACACGTCAGTAAACATCAGGTTCCTGTCACAGACAGCTTGCAATACGACAGAGTGGAACCGTTTCCGATTCAGGTAAGTATCTGGAGCCTCTTTGGGTGCTTTGATGGGTATGTGGCATCCATCGATGGCACCCATTACACCATGAATATGTTGTGCAGCATGAAATTCTGCTTGTACCTGATCAATGCTAGTTCCCTTGGGCCAACAGATTAACAATGGCGCCATGTCCTGTAGGGCGAAGCATACCCGCCGAACAGACACCCATGCGGTGGACCTCGATATCCCCCACTTGTCTGCCAACTCCCGCATCGTACTTTTGCTCCCGAGCCACCATAGTGTGATAAGCAGCTGCTTTCTTATCGGTACAGGTGCACGACCACCAATGCTCTCCACCGCCATGTGCACAGATTGTGCAAGTTTTCCACAAACAATATCCACTGTTGCTCTTTGCAGTCGAAAATGACGGCGGAAGTCGAGGTCACTCTGCATTGGCACTACTGCTTCAAAATAGTTCATCTGTCGTGGTACGGAAGCACGCCGCTGCAGTCCACGAAGTCGGCGAAGCTCAGGAATGCCAGGGTCTTGGGACAAGACACAAATCTCGTCGTAAATGCTGTCAGGCATGTCATCACCTTGCAAGAGGCTGGCGACCACAGTTGCCACAAGACCAACAATAATCCGAATTCTCCGACGACGAACCTCGTCAGCACGATCCATACTGCCGCACCTCGCACAAGACCAGGAAACAAAAACATGGAAGCAAGAGGAAGAACGAACCAGATGGAGATCACAAAAGGCAAGATATTATTATGGCAATTGGAGCTGCACGTGGAGCAGGTGGAGCACCACGAGGGTGGACGTACGATGAGTACGACACAACAGCCATACATGTAAATGACTCTTGTTGTCCTTTCGTACACCCTGCGCGATCAGTACGACTTTCACCCTTTTTGGGTGACCTGTCAGCGCCATGTTTTACTTCGTCAACATGGCAACAACCAAGGTCCAACCAAGGTCCCCAAAAAAGTGATCGGTTGATTCTGAAGGATCCGACGGATCTGAGATCTGGATCTGGATCCGGATCCAACCAAACGATCATAGCCTAAGATGCTATACTGCGCCATTACTAGATGTACTTCTGAAGTAAATAGTAGAACACACATCAGAACTACAAGTAGTTACAAGTATAGTAACTTTAACATCCAAGACTGTAGCAAGATAATCAGCAGCCTGGAGGTGCAGATCGTCCAAGATCTCAGAGGCATGTCAGTTCTGTGCCTTTTCATTGCACGTTCTGACTGCTTATTATCTTGTTACAATCGTGGATAGTTGTTTCAAAATTAGTTCTCACGTGGTTCCTTCTCTTTTAGATAAATTATTTACTGATGAATGAATGCTTTCACATGAAAATGTTGAATGGTGTTGCCAGGTGGGAACACAACTGAAGAAGATGACCCTCGTCTTACATGTCCTCCTTCGCCTCAGCGCTGAAGGATGCGATCATCCAAAGCAATTACTTGTTGTCTGTTGCTGCTGTGCCACTATTATCAGTTCTTGCACTGTGCTTGTAATTGAAGTACAGTGCTGGAAACTGAAATCCGACCCCTGGGCGGCGCGGCGCGCCGCCCAGGGGTCGGATTTCAGTTTCCAACGCTGTACATGTACAATTTATACATGTACAGCATTCTGGAATATAAGTAGGATTGTCCGTATTTTGCTGTGGTAATTCAAACAGATTTTGTTGTTTTGAACTTCGAGTTGAACGTTGTCCAACACTTTGGTTATCAAAATATGCTATACGTGTATGGGCACGTGCATGTGTATGCAAACCTACGTCGTTAAGCCGGAGGCATGACAGCGCTGGCACTTGGATGCACCGTAACTTGAATCCAGTGCTGCATTGTAAGTCTCCGCTGTGCAACACATGCTACATGCTATGTATTGTAGTTTGACGTTCATGTACTAGTAAAACTCCACCACACCTAACATGGGACCTTTCAAAACTATTATGCTACGGTAGTGCTGGTTCAACTTTAAAAAAGTAAGGCTCAACTCTCTGCATTACAATCGTCTTAGAAAGCTAGGGAGCAGATTTATTGGTTTGAACCTATAATTATGCTCGTCTCGATTTGTTGTGGCATACAATTCTAACAACCACCTGGCAATTGTCCTTGGCATGCTCATACATGTATTGCTGCAAGACCAGGAAAATGTAGATACATAATGTTGTATTTCAAGTAGTTACTGAATCTGCGGACAGAACTGTTTCGTCCTTTGTGGACTCATCGGCGCACCACAGAGAAAATTAGGCAGAACCAGATATCGGTAGTAATGAAATGTAAAATTTCCAAAAGCCAGATTTATACCAGGCCGGAAAGTACCTTGCAGGGCTGCTCAAACTGACAAGTCAATGAGCTCTGCATAGCGCAAACAACAAAGTCACTACCCCACACGAGAGTGGTCAACTCCTACAACGTCAAGAGTAGGAGCGAAATACTTTTAAAATCTACGGACAGAACTGTTTTGTCCTTTGTAGACTCATCAGCGCAGCACAGAGAAAATGAGGCGGAACCTGATAGCAATGAAAAATAGAATTTCCAAAGCCAGAATTAAACCAGGCCCCAACGTACCCTGCCGGAATGCTCAAACTGACAAGTCAATGAGCTCTGCATAATGCAAACAGCAAAGTCACTACCCCACACAAGAGTACTCAACTGCTACAAGAGCAAGACTACATGTATTGTAATTTTATTCACTGGCTCAATATTCGACTTATGTCTTGTTATGAACTGACAAGTGACAAGTGACTTATGTCTTGTTATGAACTGACAAGTGACAAGGAGAAGGAGGGGCACTCCGGGAATTTTTACGGTAGCGTGTTCTCTTCATGGGGGCCTTATATGGCCTCCAAGGGATGGGGAATCGCGAAAACTAGACCCAAAAAGTCGATATATGAAGCCAGGGAGGGCCAAGTTTGTCTGCTCCGCGGAGGGTTTTGATGACGTCACCTGTGATTAGTATTCAAATTCCCTGCATTTGAAGGTGTTAGTTGTTTGCATTTTCTGGTGATGAAGAACGATGTTTGGTCGACATTCCCAAGCTTCACAACTGCAGCCATACTCCAAGGAACTTGAAGGGCCTCCTCAGGTGCCCCTGGTAGAAGCACAGCGTGATGAGGGCCAGGAGATTGGAGCAGACGACTTCACTGGTCGACAAGGAAGAAACGATTGGTGTTCCTGCCAGAAATGTGGAGTGATGCAGACGGCAGTCGATTGCCTTTGCTGTCGAGAGAGCGATGCAGCTGTTAGCATTGACAGCGCTTTGACATGCATTACGCATCACCCCCACTTCCCGTCTGCTTGTCTAAACAAGTACCAGCTCCCCATCCGATCCCTCCTCCTGCTCGCGTTTTCGCTTGAGGTAAAGTGATTACTTTCGAGGCCGTTTTCGACGTGGAACTAGACTTTGCAGACACGCCTGAACTCTAAAATAACGTTGGCACTGCACCGTCCACGCGACGAGCTTACGAGGTCGATTTTTGCCTGACTGGCTGCTCATCGCTCCGCTAGCCATAAATTCGCTCATCAGATCGAGCTGAAAGCAGGTCGGTTCAAAGTGGGCTGAACACAAACGATTCCACTTTATTGGCTCCAAGAGCTTGTGCGTTTTCCCACCGGCGACTCGAGCTGCTCTAACCATGTTTTTGACCTATGAAAGCCGCCACTCAGCGTCGTAGGAAACGTAAACCACGTCAAAATTGTGCATGCCTCATCCTTCGAATCGTTTGAACAGACGGGAGCACAACACCTCGACATGACAGACAGGAAATCTGAAGCTGGCACATCGACAACATGAAAGAAACAAACTTGAGAACTACCATGCAACGCTTCACCTCGACAGTTTCAGCAGTGTTCCCATTCGAGCTCCGGGAGAGCGATTGAGCTCCTAATCACACGTGATGTCATCAAAACCCTCCGCGAAGGAGACAAATTTGTCCCTCCCTGGCTTCATATATCGACTTTTTGCGTCTAGTTTTCGCGACTCCCCGTTCCTTGGGGGCCATACGAAGCCCCCACTAACAGAACACACTACCGAAAAAATTCCCGGACTGCCCCTTTAACTCCAAATCTCCCCCTCACACAATGTATACCACTTCACTTTTCTAAATCCAACAACGTCTTGTTATGGACTTCCAGGAGTTCCACTACCCCTTAGTAAATTCACTGTGTGGTACGTAGGTGAGAATAGGCCACTGATTGTCTGCAGACAAGCACTCACCATACCTCTCAGGGTGACAGCAAATTGAATATTTCTTTACTTACTTTGACCCTGAATGCCAAGTGCAATAACAGTACAAATATTCTCATGACCAGAATCCATTTCCTTTGATTTCGGACTGGAATTTCACACAATGTAAATCCTACTTTGTAAACCGTTCTTCCTGAAACCGCAAATTACTAATAGAATAGGACAAAGAAATGCCGAACAGCTTAAGATGCTGTCATGTGCACAAAATGGGAGACGTTTTTTAATTATAATTGAAGTGGGGTAGTGAAGCATTGAAAACGTTTCTGCATTGACTACAGAGCAAGTGTATTCTACGCTGTTGTAACAACCGCGTGTCCCACAAAAGTAGAGTCAATCTTGTGCATTAGAAGGAAAGCATTGCATACTGGGAACAGAGGTGCAGTTGAAAACGAATTGTGGTAGTTTTGAGATGTAGAACAACATACATACATAGGTACAACATACATACATAGGTACATGCATACATACATGGGTACATGCAGATAGATAGAATGGATAGATACAAGGGATAGATTGAGTGATTAGATAAAATGGATATTTCAAAGTAGATAAAGTAGATAGATAAAAAGGTCAATAGACAGAATACAATGTAGAGAAACGGGAAACAACTTGTATATTCTAACGCTGTGTTGCCTGCCTCAGGAAGACTACCAGTCAACAGTAAACACTACTAGATTGTTACAGAGATGGAAAGGGAGAGAGAGAGAGAGTAGAGGGGGAGGGGGGGGGGCAGAGGAATTGGGAGGCAGACTTCTAGTTCTGTTGATTATTGCAAAGTTCTTCGATATGCAGAGTGGATGTGATGGTACCTGTACCACGGTAGTAACCCAGGAAATAGCTGGATGTAGTGCACTGTGCCTGTATGTGTGTAGAGAAGGACAGTGGACCTGAAGTGTTGATATTGCAAATACCACTCTAAACACCAGCATAGATTTGATATTCTTTTGAAGTACTAGTGCTTCCACTTCTGATAGGGGCTGGGTCTGAACAGTCACTGCCGTTGATACGCACTGACACCTTCACACAATGCCATGCAGTGTTCCCATGCAAAAATCCAATAGAGGTTGTGTACACCACTCTGATAACAGTGTCAGGTCTAGTCTTGTTGAACACGACTCCACTGAACGGGTTACTAGCACTACTAGTAGATGTCTCCATTGTAAATGTCTTCCAGGATACAATACCGCACTGAAAATGACATACATGTAGAAGTAGATTACAAACATGCACATGATATGAGTGTTATATGCCCAATTTGTGGCACGCGGTAGTGATTGTAAATTAGCCAGAACAATGTTGAGTAAACATTTTCACTGCTGTCAAACCCAGGAATAGGGTTTACTGGGTGTTAACGGCCGTCGTGAGTCCCATTAGGGAACGGACACGATAATAATATTATACTCTTTTTGTTTACTTAAACTCAGGAATAGAGACGGAGATGAGGTAGTGCTGGGAGACAGCTAAAACAATACTTCTGAAGTAATAAGCAGTTATACCTAAGAGAGCATCAATGGACCAGACTACCAATCTCTCCCGGCCTTAGCCCATCATGAAACTGTTAACCACAAGCCAGGCAGACTGTGTGTAGGCAGTGGAGACGTCCAGTGGAACAGTTTACACAACAACTGCCAAACTGTCACAATCTTATCGTTCTCCTCTTTGATATTGTCACATATATGTACATATAGGTACAGTTTGTTGACATCTTGCTACTGCCAGTTAGTTTCCTGTTGCTCGCTCTCATTGGTTCTGTAGTTGTGTTTCACTCTTTATAATCTGATTCATGACATGTTTGGGTTGTCGTTCACTTGGAACAATCCTGGAACTAAGTTGGGACTACTACACGCAGCAGTAAAAACCACTAGACATTGTACAATTACAAATAAAGCTGTGGAAAAAATTGTGGTTTTACCGAATATAGGCTTTACTACGACTGTGAAAAAATCTCGCAAAGCAGCACCAAGGAGAGCCCTTGTTTCAACATTAACTTGCAAAGGGCATGGTCTGCACCAGTTGACTCGGGAAAACAGGGCATACCTTCAAAATGAGCCTGGAAGAAAATGCTTTTAAGTTTTTTGCTGACACTACAATTATACGTATCAACATATCATCCGATCACCTGCCGGTATCAAGTCTACTCTGCATCGCATTTAAACCTGCTTCACTCCTTCAACAGCCTTCGAACAAAGCTACCCCTCCGCCGTACAGTCCAATTCAGGCTCTCTTTTTTGGACTCTCTTGACTCTAATCTCTCCCTATGAGGCTAGTCACTTGAATCGATTAGACGCTGAGGCCTCGTAAGGAGATCCCCCCGATATAGGTTATGCCTTTGGGAAATTCTTTAATACAATTCATTTCAAGGACTGCACTTCTAAGTCTTATTGCGAGTATTTATTACAGTGCATGACAGAAATGCTTAACTAACCTTCTTTCTTTCCTCCTGCAGAGTAGCATTGATGGATGCAAGCTGCTCAACAGAATGTTGCTTCATTGACTTGAAATGTTGCTTCGTCTGTTGGAAAATATTTGAAAAATGATCAGATAGACACTAACCCTTTTCTCCGGTGTTTTTCAAATATTCTCATTCATTTTAATACCGGCATGAAGTACAGACACCTAGATAAATATGTGCATGTTCCAGTCCGAGGATTTTAGTTGCATAATAGACACTCGAAAGTGGAAGGAACTAATGTGTGCTGTGTGTAATGGCTGAAGTTATACAATTACACTAGACACCCTTAACAATAATAACGGATACAATTACACTAGATACCCTTAACAATAATAACGGATACAATTACACTAGATACTCTAGATACTAGATACTCGGTACTCTAGATACTAGATACTCTAACAATTTTATCAAACATTATGATAATTACCACATCAAATGCTGCGGAGACCTATCCAGAATCGGCAATATGCTGGCCCTGGCCTGGAGATCTGCAACTATAATCAGCTTCTACTTTGCAACACTAACGGATTAGTCCCCTTTGTCGATTGCTGGATCAATCGGTAGATTCGGCTCTGTTTTTCTTTCCTTTCTTTCTTGTTTTGAATTGTACGTTGAACTCATTGGATTTCTTTGTATTCTGTATCTCGTTATCGTTATATTTCCCTCTAGCCCTCTCGCTTAGGATGAGCTTTCTTTTTGATGGCAGCTTAAGCGAAGGCTATATACCTGCTTTATGCAGGTTGATGCCAACGCGAACAAGCAAAATAATAATAATAATAATAATAATAGACACTGTCATTCTGCAATGTGTGAAAGGCCAAAGATTATGGGAAAAAGTCGATGTTTGACCACTTGAGCCAGACTGTCATTTGGAACGTACATGACTGTATCTCTGGATATCTGGACAAAACTACCGAATGTGTGCTCTGACTGATTTCATGTTTTGTTTGGCGTTAGGTAAAAGCTTGTCCTGCCATCTGTGCAAGCAGTCGGGTAAGTTGTTGCCCATTTGGCCAATTGAGCATTGAATTCTGCTTGGAAGGATTGTGGCAACTCTGTTGTGACTCATGGTTGGTTATGATCTCTTGGCCTGGATTTATGGAATATCCTGGTGCAGTGATTGAGATTTCCATCCAGCACATTATTGCAGTTCTGATCTACTCGAGTATCACCTGCTACAAGGAGCTGTGACATATGCCCCTTGATCTGCTCTCAATAACAGAATCCCACGCAAGCAGTACGGCATGCACCTTGCATATGGAAACACTGCATTGCTTTCCTACCTTCTGTCCTTCCTCCGTCAAAGTGGCATTGATTGCAGCAAACTGTTGAGCAGAATGTAGCTCCATGTTCTTGAGGTGTTGCTTTGTCTGTGAGAAGGAGTTCAAGTAAAATGAATTAGACTCAAATATACCAGGAATTTCCTTGCCCAGAGATGGCTTGACTATACACTCACTGAGGTTGTCTGAGCATGCAAAAGTGTTCATTGCCTAGCTACCGATTCGGATCATTTCCATTAGCTGTAGCTCTCGGAGAAAAGTACTCTTTAACGTCAATGCAGACACCGGGTCCTGTGTCTGCTCTTCCGAGAGGTCACAAGTTACACTATTCTCAAAATTTTATTGTCTCACCGATGACGTAGGTGTGGGACCTTCCCAAAACTCGACTGATATTAAATCAGGCTGAGTACCAAGAACTGATTCAACTTTCTACAGAAAGAGTCACGTGAGTGACATGATATCACGAGTTCAAATCCTTACTGGACATCCTACTGGTTACAAACAAACAACGACATCCTACTGCGTTGTACATGTATGATCACGTGTCACTTGTTCAGTAGCTGAGTCTACGACTCAATTTTCAGCCTGACTGAATCTCACAAGACGTTTTAGATATTTCAACCGGATAGGGCATATTCACACACACAGGCTTGGATGCCTTGTATTGTGAAACCAGTGAAATACTGCATTGGTGCGCTTACCCTTTGAACATCTATGGCCCAAATGAAGCCAAAACAAAATAGCCATCCGCTTAGACACTACGGGAAGTTGAGGCATTTTTGTACTTCATATATTCGATCATTCTGTGGTTCGTTATTATGATCACCTATGATCGCCGCTGATTATACATCTGCAATAATTATGCTGCGTTGCACATGGCCACTTGGATTGGACTTCTTATAGTAGAAGTTTTTGATAACAGTTTCCCTTCCCTTCTCCTCCTGTGCTTCCTGGGATAAGTTCAATGATTTCATCTCACCCTCAAAGGAGACGAGTTTAACCTTGTTCTGCAAATACAGAACAAACCAATGTCCTGTGTGAAAGAAGCCAAAACAGTACTGCTACATATGGCTGTAGAGTGTCAGAATTTCTTTGATTGTGATCAGATATTTAAAAACCAAACGAGTAAGCCACAAAAAATTGTCACCTGAATTTCCATTTGATCCACCTTCTTTTTCTGCTGGACAAATATGGTTGTCAGTACTTTCATGTCGGAGAGTAGTTTATTGATTTGGAGATCCCTTGCTTCCAGTTTCTCTTCCAGCTGCTTGTTGTAGGTTTTAACAGCTTCAATTTGGTAGCAAAGCTCGCTGTTTGCAGATGATCCGCACAGATCAACTAGAACAGGTGAAAGCAGAGCAAAATCAACTGTTATCTCGGGTCCGTCCGTAATTATTCATCACTGCTACCAAACGAAACACATTGCATTTAGGCGTGTGTAGGACTGCTGTGTCCCTGTGTACGTACCCAGTAGGAATCAACAGACTTTTAATCGGACTGAAAGTGAAATGGTATGCAGCTTTATAGGCATCCTAAAGACTAAGTGATATCGGTATGTTATGTCTATGGAGCTGGAAATAACCACATTGCTCGGTTCAGACATTTCCAATGAGCCTCATATCTAGGAGGTCCATCAAGGTATGGAAAATGGGGTTCGATTTTGTTCCATGCCGTGAATGCAGGTTTTGAAACGAGGTTAAGTGCGTTGACAACCCAGTCGCGCTGGGAATACGAGGCCAACAGTGAACATGTCTCAACCCTTTCAGTCAGTTACCATGCTCAAAAGAAAATCCCGGTTACATTTCCTTCAAGTCCATTTGGCACATCTCTACTCACAGATAGTGCAATTCAAGGGTTTGATGATCCTCAGAAAGTAACAGAATGAAATCTAAAGATGATTGCTGATGGATGCTTTCTGTGGCGAGTATTCATGAGTATCTCTGTAGTCTGTACACGAATATTGAACTTCTGTGTTCCTGTCCTTTCTGGCCTCCAAAACACACTGTATGTCTGCGGTTTCCTAGACCTGCCAAACTATACTGCATTCGACGCCATCAACAGAGGGACACTTACCTTGGCAGTTAGTACCATCTCCCTTGTATCCAGATTGACAGTAACAAGAGTATGATCCAACAGTGTTATTACACATTGCATGTTCATTACACTGATGTACACCAGCTGTACATTCATCTAGATCTGGACAGAGAGTGTGAATGAAGGGAAAAGTCCGGGTATTCAACCAGTGAAATATACACATGACAGTGCTGGAAGGATGGGAGGGGAGGTAGTCGTCCAAATTGTTATCATAAGCCACTGTTCAGTTTCGCTACTAGGAGCATAACTTGAAATCATATTCGGATGAATAAGCAAAATCGTAATCATAAGCGAACTCGTGGCCGCATCATATGCTACTACACTCGACCCATCATACTGCTGCTACACTTCAACTGAACGCAGGAGTATTTTAAATAACTCACGTGATGTACTCTTTTGCTGATACTAGCAACATCGCGATTACCACAACTAACGAACAAAAGTGTCTGCTAATGCTTGGCTTCATTTGCTCTCTGTCTCTTCATCTCTCTCTATCTCTCTCTCTCTCTCTCCCTCTCTCTCTGCCTAGATATTTATAATAACGCCAATAATATTCAACATTTTGAAGGACGCTTCACGCAGCTTCATTGCAGTTGACAATAATATTTTAGACACATGACCCTCCGTATGTAGGGCAGTTTATAGCCGAGCCCGACAAAAGTCTTGCTTTCAAAGGCTTTTGTAACAGTAGACAATGCTCAGTTATCATAGAGGAAAACTGGAGCAGTTAAATGGGATTCAACGGGACTGCAGGGTATAACTTTCCATGACGCAGTAGGAAATACGAAGTTTGCTTCAATGTTGCCAGGAAAAGTATGAATGAGGCTGCCTCCAATTTTAGCCATAACACGCCCAGTGATGTGCTTTTATTTGGCCTCATTGCCGGATTTCCCCAGTGAGTGGTTGCTATATTGAATTTGGCTTTGATTGGTTGCCAAGTTGGCAATGCCAACACATGCTCTCCGGTAACTCACCATTACACAAGCGTCCATCGGCTTTGAATCCCGTGTTGCAGTCACACCCAAATGATCCATGAAAATTATAGCAAATTGCCACAGCGGGTTGGTCACAGATGTTCAAGTCTGGTTGACTACACTCATCAATGTCTGCACATACATGAAGTATGGACGAACAGACAAAGAAATGCTTACTGCTGAGCTGAGGTGCTAATTACTTGCAAAAGTGATGGATACAGCGAGGACAGGGGCAGAAGACACAAGTTAGCGATGGGAAAAGGCTACTTATTAGCTGTTAGCCCCATCCCTCACACAAACAAGTCAACAAAGAGGCATCTTTGGATTGAGGAGTGCTGGTTTCGAAACAACTGGTTTGAAGCTCAAAGTAGAGCTGGTGTTAGCTCAGAGCAGAGCTGCTGTTAGCTCAGAGCAGAGCTGCTGTTAGCTCAAAGTAGAGCTGCTGTTAGCTCAAAGTAGAGCTGCGGTTAGCTCAAAGTAGAGCTGCTGTTAGCTCAAAGTAGAGCTGCGGTTAGCTCAAAGTAGAGCTGCTGTTAGCTCAAAGTAGAGCTGCTGTTAGCTCAAAGTAGAGCTGCTGTTAGCTCAAGGTAGAGCTGCTGTTAGCTCAAAGTAGAGCTGCTGTTAGCTCAAAGTAGAGCTGCGGTTAGCTCAAAGTAGAGCTGCGGTTAGCTCAAAGTAGAGCTGCTGTTAGCTCAAAGTAGAGCTGCGGTTAGCTCAAAGTAGAGCTGCTGTTAGCTCAAAGTAGAGCTGCTGTTAGCTCAGAGTAGAGCTGCTGTTAGCTCAAAGTAGAGCTGCTGTTAGCTCAACGTAGAGCTGCAATGCTAAATGGATGTAATATAGCGCAAGGCAGAGCCGCAGCAAATAGCTAGATAACACCAGTTGTGAGAGTGGACCCGATTAGTGGGTACGATAATTATGATGGTGTGAATAAGTTGGATAGGGAGGGATGGTGGGAAAAGAAACACTGCTGAAGCACGATCCGTTGTCTGGAAGAGCACAACAGGGCAAGCAAGATTTGTTTTTCCTTTCTGCAAAATGGGCTGGTGCCATTTGTGATTACGCAGCAAAACAAAGCGCATGACGTCAGTCTTGAATGCAGTACAAAGCAATGCAGTGCAGTGTGTGCGCTAGTTCGGATTGTTGCTAACAAGTACTAGCCCAGCTAGTACACCATTAAACGCTAAGTTCCATTGAAATTCACCAAACTTCTACTGTATTAGCTCACTTATGAAATGAAAACACACCAATAGCCTTTCATTCATAATATCTTTCCTTTGTAGTCCAACTCTCAATGTGATGACGATCTCTGATGATTCTCACATAAAAACGACGTTCCAATCGTTAAAAAGGTTTTGTTCCATTGTTCTCTTGGTATGAGTGCACTCACTTTGCTTTCATCGATGTTTACATTTTGTTGCTTTTGTTGTACAAATGGAAGGGAAGCCCTTTACAAAGGGTTTCGCTTCTTTTTCAATGATCCTGCATGACACTCACCTGCATCACACCTCCTTCCAGTCAAACCAGCGGGACAAATACAAACAGCAAATTGCTGTGTAGTGTTGAACACACATTCTCCAGACACTGAGCAAGGTAGACGACTTGTTAAGTCAGCTGTGGGGCACTCTGGCGTTCGATCTGGATACAATTTGAGCAAAGGCAGAGCAGATGTCAGGAAAGAAAATTAGCAAACTATTCGGCAATTCCAAATTGATGTCACAGCAATACTGAACCTGGGAGAAGGCAGTGCATTTCCCCTGGTTTTTATTGGGCTATCCTGAAATGTCCTATGCATTCGTTCTGATGTCTTCAGTCATTATCGGAGTCTTATATCCTCTAATCAGAAGTGGTTTTCCTTATTGTGACTTAACTCATGCATTTGCGATCGTGATAATCCTCTGGAAAATTTCAGCAGCAAGCGCTTCCGCCCGTACAGTAGCACCCTCACTTAGCTCCTGTCATGTTGTATTTCTCGCGAAATATTTTCAGTTGCAAATATGGTATCTGGTGTGTTCTTTATTGTCGCTTCTTTTCCTGACTTTTCTCAGTCAGTTTTGAGTCCCACCAGTTTCCCTGCCCTCCCACCCTTCATTTCTGTGCATATTTTCATTGCTTTTATCACTGTTTGCAGTGATGTGCTTGTCATGCCTACATGATGCCTAATCGCCATTTGGGATATACATCCGGTTTTTCCCTCACAACTGTGTCCGTCGGCGCGAGGGTTTTTTACCGGCTGGCTCGGTCCAGGAAAATTAATCTGACGGTCCCAAGTGGTTCTGCATCATGGCCTATTTCTGCTATCCACTGGCACGCCTATTCTATCTGAGACACTCTGTTCTCAGTCCTTGCTCCCATACCTAACTCGTTATCCGGTTCACATCTGGCTGCTGCCAACTACCCTTCACAGTGTGTGTTGTCGCTATTGCTGTCTATGTCTCTGTGGATGCCAGTATAATGAGGAGCGAGAAATGTCTGGCATAGCTTGTTGGTAAGTTGCATCCATTAGCTGGTGGCACATACTTCACATGACAAGGTAACTTATTTGCTTGATTCGACGTCACTTTCGTACCAGCTGAGCTCATGAAGCAATCTCCTATTTGTGTAGGCGAGTAATGTTGATAAAATCATGGCGGAAGCTTACCTTAGTATCTATTATTGAGGTCTGCGTGTAGGGAACGTACATCACAATGAAGCCGAGCGATAACTATTCCATTTTCTTTACATCACCATAATAATATTATACTAATGTGCAGCTCCGTTAGTCATCTCCGCCTAAAATCAGTACTTGTATACAAGTCGGTAGGTTCAGGGTACAGAAGGAATGGGATTGCCATATTATCCAGCTTGGGAGGCACCTGTATGTGTGTGTGTGTGTGTGTGTGTGTGTGTGTGTGTGTGTGTGTGTGCGTGTGCATGTATGTGTGTGTGTGTGTGTGTGTGCGTGCGCATGTGTTTGTAGGCTTGTTTGGATGCCATAACTTAACTTTGTCTTCTAGAGAAAAATATACATCTGAAGACTTTTTTAACACAAATTGCGACAAACGCTATATTTGTGAAATGTTGAGATTTTGAGCTCAGTATGCTCAGAAGGTTGTATTTTGTATTTACTATTTAAAGGTTCAGGGGCACCTTCCAACCTGACTATAACCGCATGCACATCAAAACTGGTAACATAATGGATTCCCGTTTGTCTCTTTCCCTCAAACCAGTTAACATAATGGATTTATAACCAAACCGCAAATATATTTTGACCATTATCCTAAAAGAGGTGAATGGGGTACTAGCTGTGCTAGTACTTGTTAGCAACAATCCGAACTAGCGCACACTGCACTGCAGTGCTTTGTACTGCATTCAAGACTGATGTCATGCGCTTTGTTTTGCTGCGTAATCACAAATGGCACCCAGCCTCGTTTTGCTGAAAAGAACAAACAAATCTTGCTTGCCCTGTTGTGCTCTTCCAGACAACGAATCGTTCTTCACCAGCGTTTCTTTTCCCACCATCCCTCCCTATCAAACTTATTCACACCATCATTGTATTTATCGTATCCACTAATCGCGTCCACTCTCACAACTGGTGTTATCTAGTCATTTGCTGCGGCTCTGCCTTGCGCTATATTACATCCATTTAGCATTGCAGCTCTACGTTGAGCTAACAGCAGCTCTACTTTGAGCTAACAGCAGCTCTACTTTGAGCTAACTGCAGCTCTACTTTGAGCTAACTGCAGCTCTACTTTGAGCTAACAGCAGCTCTACTTTGAGCTAACATCAGCTCTACTTTGAGCTAACCACAGCTCTACTTTGAGCTAACAGCAGCTCTACTTTGAGCTAACATCAGCTCTACTTTGAGCCAATAGCAGCTATGCTTTGAGCTAACAGCAGCTCTACTTTGAGCTAACAGCAGCTTTACTTTGAGCTAACGCTGCTCTACGTTGAGCTGTTGTTGTTGCTGTTGTTTTCTTTATTTGAATTCGCTAAAACCAAACGGACAGAACTGTCCAGTGACAGAGTCACTATGCATCAAAGCATCTCAGGACAAAATGAGACAGACTATATTAAGGGAGGGTCTGCACAACACTTGTACATAAAGGGGAGTACGAGAACAAAGGCGCGGCAGAAGTCGAAGCAAGAAAGCAATCAACGCCAGAGATATTTTTGTCCACCAAAGAGAGAGAGAGAGAGAGAGAGAGAGAGAGAGAGAGAGAGAGTGAGAGAGAGAGAGAGAGAGAGCTAACAGCAGCTGTACTTTCAGCTTACCGTAGCTCTACTTTGAGCTAATGGCAGCTCTACTTTGAACTAACAGCAGCTCTACTTTGAGCTAACCACAGCTCTACTTTGAGCTAACAGCAGCTTTACTTTGAGTTAACAGCAGCTCTACTTTGACCTACCAGCAGCTCGAAACCAGTACTCCTCATTCCAAAGATGCCTCATTGCTGACTTGTTTGTTTGAATGATGGGGCGAAATGGGTATAACATCTTAAAGGCGAAGTAAATCTGAAATCAAAAATTCACCAGATGTAGTCTTCGGGGTGCTGAGTCGAATGGTCTTGGTCCGAGGAATCTGAGACGCTCCCTTCCTCCTGTATTACCAATCGAACTCGAGCACTTCGACCGAAACTGGGTGATTGCGCCCTACTAGATGGGGATTTGTATGCATAATGCCACTAAAAGCGCCATGTCGTTCTTATAAAAGCATGGATGGCCTCGATTGGCCCAGAATGTCTTTTGCATGCTGAGTCGACTGTTTTTGGTCCGAAAAGGCTGCAGGCGTTTGGCCCTTATGCCCAATCGAACATGACCGAACAAGCGGTCACGTGCTGCTGCGTGCACCAGTCACCTGGTCACCGCGCAAGCAGGTGACAATTTTCACACCAAGGTTCAACTCAAAGGTTCAACTCGAGTGACAGAAACCCAGTTGTACTTATACTACGGACGACAGAAGCCTACGATTGTGCAGAAATAACAAGGTCTACTTACGGATGCAGTGTTTGAGGTCTGCTGCAAGCTGCGGTGCGTAACCCAAGAGGAGACTTAAGATGAATTGCTCTTGGTGCTTGACAACCTTCTCATCTAACATTGCTTGAATGGCAGCTGGTGTGTTGGGAATGGTGCGAGCTCTTGCACGACTGGAGTTGGCAATAAGTAGCCATTCCGTCATGCAGTTGATATCTTCAGTGACCATCGCAGCTGGTGTATCTACTGACAAAGCGACAAAATATTGGAAAATCGAAATTGAAGATCAGAAATTTGCAAATTACATGTAAGTAGGCACAGCCATAATCATGAATTAGTGCATTGTGACGTCACGACTATGTCTTCACACTCTTGGGCTAAGCGTGGAGTTTTCTCTAATCCAAAAATGGTGTGCAGTCATCTCTCATCCTTCTACGAGACTACGGGAGTATAATCAATACTTCAAGTATAGGCATATCCGCGTGTAATACCGGTATGCCGCGTCCACAGCTTAGTTTAGGCTAAATGGCTTCAATGAAAGGAGAGAGGAGAGAAAGAAACGGGAAAAGTGGATCAAAAGTTAAGACTTTACAAAAGGTTTTTGCTGAGTGCTAGTATCCGCGCATTGCTAGCATATAACCAAGATTGAATGACGTAATACAGGAATGTCAGTCCTACTTGGAGTTTAATGGTGAGCTATCATCAAGATTCCGGATACAAACACATTAAAACCAAGTACTGATTTCTGAAGTAATGGTGCCAAAGGCTTCATCCGATCTACAACTTTGTCTCTTCGTGCGCTAATATGTTTCCCTCATGTTGCGTTGTGATGTCTGATGCATTCATACTTTCTGTAGCTCTTATAAAACTATTGTATCTATGTAGAATGAGTGAGCTATCATCAAGATAACACCTGTTCCAGTGTAAGTCAGACGTATCCCCTCACCTCTAACGTCAGGTGCTGCACCTGCCGCTGGATTGTTCGGGTGCTTGGGGCCATCGTGAGATCCATTCGGGAATGGACACGATCCTTTACTGTTACTTAATTTGTTATCATCAAGATGATATTCTGTCTTAATGAAACCCATAGTTGTATCCGACTATGCTGACTACAGCGTTACGGTTCTCCAGTCCGGACAGTGAGAACTGGTTTTCAAAATGGAAGTACACAACTGTGCATCCTGCATTGTTCTGCATTATTTCCACGATTGCTATCCTAGGTGAGAAATATCTTTTTTCCAATTTGGCTTTGCGAATTCACAATGTCAGATGGTGAGGTTTGCATGATTTCAAATTAATTGAAATTCTACAGGTTTGGATCTATATTTATGCACTTTAGAAAGATGTGGGCGCAAGGTATGCCATCGAGTCCACCAACTAAAACAGATTTTGAACGGTCAGATGTGCAAAATCCAGCACAAAAGCACGTCGAACTGTTAAAAATCTGGGATAGTTGGTGGACTCGATCGCACAACTTGCGCCCACACTTTTGCATACGATGCTATTTCCTTGGCTCACCATCTAAGTTCTTAAAATTATATACTTTGCATGATAAATGGAGAAATGTTCACGAAGATTACACCTGTTGTCTGGCTACATCTTTCATGTTGGGGAAAATACAATCCGCCAAACACCTTTATCACGCGCTTGCTTAGGAACAGAACAAAATTCATGATGACTTTCAAGCCAAACACTTCTTTTTGCTGTTTTTTCAAAGGCGCATTGTCAAATTTTACAAAAGGTGAAACGATATCCAACTGAACTAGTGGTGGATCTGTGTACATGTGCAATACACAAAAGCGAGAATTCCCAGAATTCCTTGAGTGCTCTACACCACAAGGATGGAGCAATACCACAAAGCCGGACTAGAGCATAGACAAGAGTCCAGATCAGTGTTGGAAAGCTGCGTTTCATTCATACATGTATAGTGGGGCTAAGGTAAACCTCAGACAACCGACTCAGTTGTCTGAGGTTTACCTTAGCCTTGCTATGTACATGAAACGCAGCGTTTCAACAATGATCTAACTGGTATGCTCTGTTGTCTTGTACAATCTACAATGTACACTGTACATGCATGTCATGCATTACTTTCTTGCATGCACTTAGTGTCTGGCTGCTTTGACAGGTTCCTGTCATACAGACCAGCCCAGTGTACTAGTGCGTTCAGCAGGGGATGCATGACTTTATCAGTTAATGCTTTGGCTCAGAGACCATACGGTGATGTTTTTTTTTACGGGCAAAGCAAAGCACAATCATCACCATGTATCAGTGCAGTGAGTAGTTAAACCCAACACGAATGAAAAATGTGAAATGGAATAAAACAATATTTGTAAAAAAATAAATAAATAAAAATTAAAATTCAATATCGAACACGAATAAAATAAAATAAAAATATGTAAAAAATAAACAATATCGAACACGGAATTAATTCCGGAACTATCTACTCAACCAATTCATAATGCAATACCCGCTCACTGTGTCAGAGACCATACAGTTAGTGAGTTTTACGCTACAGTGATGGTGCATTCATGTACATGTGCCTGTGTAGAGCATGCAGATTATTCAACCTTGTACCTGTTGCATTGTAGTCAAGTACCTGTGTCACTGTAGCTTGGTGTGTTAAAACCTGTACAGTCATAAGACTAGTATCCTTTGCATGTGAAGTTCGAACCTACCTTTTTCAGAAGCTTTCCTTTTTTTCTTTACTTTCTCCCAATACATGTCTTCTGATTGGCCGAATCTGTGCCATCTCTCTATCTCCTGATTGGTCTAAACCGTTGCTCGTTGTTATGTGAAACCTGAACTCTCTTAGTCTTGGCACATATAAAAAGCTCTGTCTCTGAAGAAAGATGATCCTTCATTTCTTCAACCACTTCTCCTTGCTCTGGTGAGACTTGTTGGTTGTTGTGTGCCCAACCACTTGGGCCACGCTACAACTGGTGGCAGCGGTGGATGTTTCGGTTTTTTTTTTTCATGCTATGTTTTTGTTGTTGTGACAATGTGACGTGATTCCTGGTTCGGAATGGCCCAAGCACAGCCTAACCAGCAGGTACCGCCGGCCCAGCCGCCCCGTCCTGCCCAGCCTGCTCAGCCAGCCCAGCCAGCCCAGCCAGTTCAGCCAGCTCAGCCAGCCCAGCCAGTTCAGCCAGCCCAGCCAGCACAGCCAGTTCAGCCCGCCCAGCCAGTGCAGCCAGCCCAGCCAGTTCAGCCCGCCCAGCCAGTTCAGCCCGCCCAGCCAGTTCAGCCCGCCCAGCCAGCTCCCGTTCGACCCATCCGGCCATGGGCAACTCCGGAACGTTTTGATGGTGGAGCAGCCTCGGACTGGACTACTTGGCGTGACCACTTCACTCAAGTTTGCCTGGTTAATCAGTGGACGCCGCAGGACCAGGCACAGTACATCCCGTTGTACTTGATAGATAATGCGCAGTGCTACTACCAGTCGCTTCCTGTCGCGACACGCCAGGATGTTCAGCAATTACTGGTAGCTCTGGAGGGTCGGTTTGCTCCACCCGTCAGGACCGACCTCCACAGAGCGGAATTGAAGGCCAGACGACAGCGAGGTGAGGAGGCGTTGTCTGATTACTGCGAGGTGATTCGCCGATTGTCTCGCAGAGCGTACCCTACCTTGCCAAACCTCGTGCAGGACCAGCTGGCATGTGACCAATTCATTGAAGGTCTGGACAGCAGAGAGTTGCGCATGGAGGTACGTCGCCAAGACCCCCGAACTCTTGACCAGGCACTGCAGCAAGGACTTCGAGCACTTGCCATACTCCAAGCGGACGCTACTACTAGTGCGTCTCAGCCAGTGGCCGCGGCTGTCTGTGCTGCCAGGAAAGATCGTTTGGATGCCTTATTAGTAAGGATGGAACGATTGGAAACCGCTCTGTCATCTTTGCAGCGACCGCTGCAGCAACCCCAGCAGCAACCCCAACAACAGCGCCGCTGTTACCATTGTGGGAGTGCCGAACATCTGATTGCGTACTGCCCGACTGCACCTCCACCCCGGGGACAACGTCAGCGCCCTTCGGGAAACGGCCGGGAGTTGGCATAGAGGGTCCAGAGTCAGCTCCAAACCACCATGGCCCGGAAGTGCTGCCCGCCGCGCCTTCCGATGTAGTATGCCATTCCGTTGCTGTTGACAGTTGCCAGTATGTTATCGGCAAAGTAAGTTCAATATGCATAACTGATGTCCACATGTTAGTTGATTCTGGAAGTTCGATTTCGTTTGTCAGCTCAGCATTCTATCAACAACATAAGCATATAAAATTAAACAAAATTTCTACATCAGTTCGAAGTGTTGATGGCAGTGGCGTGACTGTGGAAGGAGCGGTGGATGTGCAGCTAGAGTTTGGCAGCCTCCAACTTCAGCACACTATGGTAGTTGCAAACATTGAGCCTGACGTACTATTAGGCATAGACTTCCTCCGTAGGCACGGTTGTATTATGGATCTGGAACAAGGCTGTCTGCGCTTGAGCAATCAGACCCTTCCATTAACACAGGGAGTTGGGCCCAAGCACCTTTCATGTCAGAGAGTGGAAACAGACCCCATTCCAGTGCAATTGGCTGAATCTGTTGTTCTACAGGGCTATTCTCAGTTGATAACGCAAGGTAGATTACGTGACACTGAGTTTATGTCTCCATCGTGCGGAATGGTAGAGCCAACAGAGTCATTCGTAGATAAATTTTGTGTCAGTGCAGCTAGAGTGGTCACGACCGTGAGTGAGAACAGTACTGTTCCTGTCAGGTTGCAGAACCTGCTACCACGGCCTGTCACTATAAACAAGGGTACAGTTGTTGGCATGTTCGAATCTTGCTTTGTTGAGAAAGCCGCAGAAGCCGCGGATGAGCGTGATTGTACTGCTGAAAGCTGTAATGCTGCTGATATGTGTTCTGACCCTGTTGAGTTGTTTGACCTTAGTCATCTCGATACAGAAGAGGCAGCAGCCGTCAGGTCTCTTCTCTCGGAGTTCAGCGACATAATTTCAACGGGAGCAATGGATCTTGGCTCTACCGGTGTTGCCAAACACGACATCGAGACCACTAGCAGCCAGCCTATTCGCCAAGCCCCTAGACGATTGCCGCTTCACCATGCCAATGAGGTTCGTGAACATGTTGAGCAGCTTTTAGCTGAGGGTTTAGTCGATCCTTCCAACAGTCCTTGGGCAGCCCCTATTGTTGTTGCTCGGAAGCCTGATGGAGCTATTAGACTATGTGTCGATTATCGCAAACTCAATGCTGTAACTGTCAGAGACGCATTCCCCATTCCGCGGATTGATGATGCGATAGACAACATGGGTGACGCACAGTATTTCACAACCCTAGATCTTGCATCCGGTTACTGGCAGGTAGAGCTAACTAATGCAGCAAGGGCGAAATCAGCATTTGTCACTCCATTTGGATTGTTTGAATGGAAAGTCATGCCATTTGGGTTGTGCAATGCCCCAGCAACTTTCCAGCGCCTGATGACCATGGTTCTGGGTGATCTTGTGCCAAGCGTATGTTCAGCGTACATAGATGACACCATAACTTTCTCGAAAACATTTCAAGAACATCTGGTTAGACTGCGCCTAGTATTTGAAAAATTCCGGGCAGCAGGTTTGAAGGTCAAGCCTCGTAAGTGCCAGATTCTGAGCAAGTCGGTTACGTATCTTGGGCATGTGTTCAAGGGAGGTGGTGTGAGCCCTAATCCCAAGAATTGCAGTTCGGTCACCAGTCTCAAACCACTTAGCTCTGCAACCGAGGTTCGTCGATTTGTAGGTTTTGCTTCCTACTACAGGCGGTTCATCAAGCCATCTTGCAGAACCAGCCGTTTCCACTGACTCCACAGACGTATCAAGGTTAATGATGCTCCTTTCATAGCACTATCACTGCGTTTAGGCCTGTCTAACAATGCTTGTTGCCAACCAATCATGCAGTCAATGTCACTGTCTTCCGCTTGAGCTCTGCGAATATCTTCTGCACTAAAAAAATCTGCCCAATTGCTTCCAAGTAAATTGCTATCATCATTCGCATGTTCTGCAGGTTGTGATTCAACGTCAACATTACCCACGTATGCTTGATGTCCAGAATCCTGCGTCAATGCATCACCAGCTGCTGTATCCGGAGAGACTGATGGCACGGCTGTAGGGACAGGAATGGAAGACTGGGAAGGACAGACAACAGTAATATTTGGATCCATTACTGAAGGCTCAGCAGTGGCCGATGCAGGATGCTCCGAATTGTCCGCAGGTTGGCTATGGAACCGTGACAATGCATCTGCGTTGGCATGCTGAGTACCTCTACGGTGGACAGTTGTGAAATCGAACGCTTCTAGTTTCTCCCACCATCTCGCCAGGATACCTTCCGAATCCTTGAAAGACTTCAACCAGAGAAGGGCTTTGTGATCGGTTCGCAAGGTAAAGTTTGCACCCAGCAAATAATGTTTGAAGTATTGCACAAAGAAGACCACTGCATACATCTCACGCCGAGTTGTGCCGTAGCGACGTTGGCTCTTACTAAGTGAACTACTAGCATACGCAATTACCTGCTCTCTGCCCTGATCGTCAGCCTGCGATAGAGTTGCACCAATACCAGTGTCAGAAGCGTCCGTGTCCAGGATAAACTTGCGGGATGGATCCGGGTACGCCAGGACAGGAGATGACGTGAGCTTCTGCTTCAGGATATCGAACGCTTGCTGACACTCATCCGTCCACGAAAAGCTTGCCTGTTTCTGCATTAGCTTGTGTAGCGGTGCTGCAATTGTCGCGAAGTCCTTCTTTAATTCTATTGGCCTTTTATGTCGTCTGACATTGAGCTGCATTGCAAGGCGTGTGCGCTTTGTTCAGCTAGGCGTACCCCAGCACCAACCGCTCGCGCTCCGATGAAGGTGGACCAACCATCCTTTCCACTGCAACGTGTCGCTATGGACATCATGGGACCACTGCCCAGAACAAATCGAGGTAACCTCTACATTGTTGTGATTACTGATTATTTCACGAAGTGGGTAGAAGCGTTTGCCATCCCGGATATGACTGCTAGGACAATAGCTTCGGCACTGATTGATGGTTTCATTTGTCGCTACGGTGTGCCACTGTCTATCCACACTGATCAAGGTGCGCAATTTGAGTCAAATTTGTTCAAATCCATCTGTGAACTGTTAGATATGAAGAAGACACGCACGACTCCATATCATCCTTCTAGTGATGGTTTAGTTGAACGAATGAATCGTACACTTGAGAACATGCTGAGTGCCAGAGTCAATGCCAATCACAATGACTGGGACCTGCATATTCAACGCTGTTTACTGGCGTATCGTAGTAGCGTACATAGTTCAACCAAGGAAACCCCAGCTAGATTGATGTTCGGCAGAGAGCTTAAGTTGCCAGTGGATATTATGTTTAACGACTCCAGAGAACATGTCAAATCTGTACCTGACTATATGATTGGTCTCGAGATCTCCTTGCAGAAGGCATTTTCTCACGCTCGATCAGCTGGCGCTAAAGCACAGAAACGTCAGAAGGACTACTATGATGCAAAGACGACCAAGCCACGGTTTGCGATCAATGACAAGGTGTGCTTACACAACCCAGCTGTGAAAGCAGGCAACACAAAGAAGTTCCTCAAGCCATGGACCGGGCCGTATCGAGTTGTCGAGGTGATCGATGACGTGGTGTACAGGATTGAGCACTGTGATACAGGGAAACTCCAGGTGGTGCACATCAACCGGCTCAAGTCAACGACTCAAGTACCGGAGGAGCAGCACGCTCCAGTGCCAGCACACCTACCTCAACCGGCGCTAATTGATTACGTGCAAGACGCAGTTCCGGCTATTCCAGTTCCGCCTGTTCCGGTTCCGGCAGTTCCGGTTATTCCAGTTCCGGCAGTTCCAGCTGTTCCAGTTCCGGCTGTTCCAGTCCCGGCTGTTCCGGCAGCTCCCGTTGTGCCGGCCGTTCCGATCATGCCACAGGCAGGTGGGTATAACTTACGCAATCGGGCAAATCTCCAGAGGCCGGTGCGATACCGTCAATGAGAGCCAAGAACAATTGATATGTACAATTTTCTTGTGAAGATTTGAGAGATTGAGATTTGAGTTTTTTTAGATATAGTGTTGGGTTGGCATTTAACACACAGTTTATATAGCTTCTTCCTTGGGTTCTTTCGTTTCATTTTTATTTTTACAATATTCACATTATCACGAGGACGTGATTCAATCTGGGAGGGGGCCATGTAGAGCATGCAGATTATTCAACCTTGTACCTGTTGCATTGTAGTCAAGTGCCTGTGTCACTGTAGCTTGGTGTGTTAGAACCTGTACAGTCATAAGACTAGTATCCTTTGCATGTGAAGTTCGAACCTACCTTTTCCAGAAGCTTTCCTTTTTTTCTTTACTTTCTTCCAATACATGTCTTCTGATTGGCCGAATCTGTGCCATCTCTCTATCTCCTGATTGGTCTAAACCGTTGCTCGTTGTTATGTGAAACCTGAACTCTCTTAGTCTTGGCACATATAAAAAGCTCTGTCTCTGAAGAAAGATGATCCTTCATTTCTTCAACCACTTCTCCTTGCTCTGGTGAGACTTGTTGGTTGTTGTGTGCCCAACCACTTGGGCCACGCTACACCTGTACATGTATACCCGGTGGTAACGCGGACGTGCAAACTTTACTTTTTACTTACATGTACACATACAATGGAGACAAAATGCTGTGCAGCTGTAACTTCAAATAAGTCTTGGCCATCATCACACAGCAGCACTTGGATGCATGCCAAATGCTGCTGTATGATAATCACCGAAATGAAAGCTGAATTTACATCCACATTGGCTTCCCTCTCCATTATGTTATTACTGTTCTATACATTAGTTCATAGAGCACCCTGATTCAAGCGACCTCGACCAATCTAAATGTTTAGATAATCCTTAAAAAACTGTTTCTGACCAGTTATAATAAAATTGAATTGAGTTTCATGCACATCACATCGTTGATTGCCATAAACGTCAACACACACAAGATAACAATGTACATGTACGTCGTCTACAACGTACGTGGTGTTTGACTGTTATCAAACTTCTTACCGGCATCGTCCGGCACCACTGGTGTTGGTGTGGCCATAGCCTGTCCACAGTTCACCGTCATCACCAGCAGCAGCAGCAATGGAGCCAGATAGAGTAGTAGGTATGTCATGATACTGCCTAGCTGTAGGCTGCGTATAGCTACACCTGATACCAGAGGTTAGTTCGCAGTATCACTAACAGACTACTGGGTTAGCTCTCTGACTCGAGAACACCTGATGAACAATTGGAGGAATTGATTGAGAAACAAGAATTGTGGGCCAGTCAACGTTTTTAGCACCTAATAATATTCTAACTCACTGCCGCTCATGTACATTGTACATACGTTGCGCGGAGTACAGCTTGATTTATGTACATTGCGGCCTTGGCGGCTCCAAATCCGTGCCTGGAACGGCGATCGCGAGTCACCTCACGCCCTAGTAACGACAACCTGTCGGGTTCCAGAACATGACATGACAGTTTGGCACACAATAAACAAGCCCATGGCTGACAAAGCAACTAAAGGGCTCACAGTTGCGTAGAAAAGCGTCGATTAGATGGGGGCGGTGCACGTGCTCCAAAATGCCAGCTTGGCCAATCAGCAGTCAGCATTTCGTCGCATTTTGCTCGAAGTAGGGGGTGTTTGAAGGAGTTAGCAGCACTTCAGCCAGGTTCTACGAAGCTGGGACTTGGCCCAGGCACAGATGACAGGTGTTCCAAAAGATTTACCGAAACAAATTTTCATTACTTACACGGGTATGCCAGAGCATATGCGTAAACTTCGTGAGATATAGTACAGCATTCGAAAGGAGTATCCAAAAACGTCTCGGTAAATGTCTTTGCCAGGGTCTCCTGAAAATTTTGAGCCATAGATTGTCCAAATCGACCAAGGGGGAGATGCTCTGTACTAATTTTAGTAACCCCGAGTCCCAGCGGCGCGCAACCGCTTGCGCGAAAATGTGTGAAGATCAAACAACAAGAAAAACGCATGCATGCAGCAGAACAGCAACGCGTACCGTCGAAGAGAAAATCATTGTGCACAGATTGTACAGTGTTCTCTCCTGAGTTCGCCCGCGGCGTTGGTTGCTGTGCTTTCATTCTCGCTGGAGTTCTTGTGGCAGCGCATTTCGCCATCATGGAGGAACTGGCACCCTGGGAAACCTGGTCTTCAGTGGCCCTCGACAAACGCCCGGTGGATTTGCTGGTCCCGTTCACCTCCATCCGATCACCAGCTCCGTGTGGTATCATCATGTTCTCGGCGTTACCTGCCTGGCGAGCTCTGACTCGTTTGTTTGTCTTCTTACCTGTGGAATCATCACGATCGCTCATTGTAGGATCAGCTCTTGGTCGAACATGGCATGTTGTTTTTACTGGGACTAGCACAGGTTGCGTTTCGCCTTCTCCTCCAAAATATCGCGAACATCGGCTCTAAAACTACGAGAACAGTACACAATCATACAAGTACAACTCTGGTTCTTTCTCTTTTCTGTTCCGTTTTGGATGCGTGGGATGTACACGATCGGTACTCTCCCGGGGTCACGCGACTCACGTGCACCAAACCCGCCCTCGCACGACGCTTTTGTCGATCCTGCATGCCTACTGTGAGCCCTTTATAGTCCATCAGCCAAGTCTCAAAATCGAAAGTGGTGATGCACTGAGCTTCCAACTAAACGCGACCATACCCAGCACGTAGAGAATATTATCAGAGAACACTATTCCGTTTGTTGGACGTGCCGAATTCAGTCCAGGGCGTCGATACGAAGCGTTCTTCGTCGCCGAGTTTTTTACTGTGCGCTCCATTTGAGAGTGCGCAGAGTTCTGATCGAGAGTTTTTTGAGCAGATTTTCAAATTTTTGAGGCTGTCAGCTGACAGCTGTCAACCCTGGCACTTAGTATGTGACAGGCAATAGGTTTTTTTGTGCCTCCGTATGCCTTCTAATAAGTTCTATCTTCATTCGTTTCACTTCGCTGCTTCGCCCACCACCTCAGGAGATGACAGCGCACCTGCACTAGTCAGCTCTCGCTAACCCTGTCTCTCTTTCTCCGTCTTAGCGCTCGTCATTCGTGTCCTTCTGCTGGGGCGAGCTTGATACTGTTGTGTCGTAGTTTTTAGGCAATAGTGGCTGTTGTTCGCGTGACGATCAGGATTTATGGAGAAAGACGACGACTCGCCAAGTTCTCATGCAGCCACAGACGGCGTAGCAATTCTTACCTCCAACTCTTCGAGCAACGGAACCGGCCTGAGTTGGAAATCGTGTCTGTGTAACTGTGCCACGATACGGATGAAACACACAGGCTCACATGTGACGAGATGAAGATAATCTCAACAGGCTGACGGAAATCCAACAGGCTCACGGGAACGCTGCAGTTATGGTCGGAGACGCGGGGTTATACTAGTCACTGGTAAATGTTGCATCGAGTGCTGTCACTGCTGTGTGCTCTAACACAATTGTAAAAATCATGAAAAAGCGAAAATAATGCAATGGTGGGGCTGAGTGGTGTTCTGTGGAGGAGATGTCGCTGTCTCAGTATTCAACGCCGGACCCTGTGTTTCAAGTCTGTGGTCATGCTCGATCATAAGTTCCTGTATGGCTCCAGTGCCTTCTCAGCATTGTTGGCGGGTAAGCACCTGGATCGTCTCCAAGTGCTGCGGCTCTGGTGGCTTGAGGGATGTACGGGTGCTCGCTGTGCACCCCTGCCGGCAATCTGCTAGTGAAGCTTGGTACCTACTGTGTCCGGGAGATTTTCATCCAGAAGCTGATCTTCCTAGGCTGGAGCTGCTGCTACTCCTGTGCTAGCCCTCAACCACTGGCGCTCCTACTCGGCTCCAGTCTGGGCCATTAACCACCCTGCCCGATTTCGCACTGTTGCTATTCCACACCGTCAGCATTTAACTCTGAGGTCAGACCTTGATCCCTCCCACCATATGCTATCTGTCTGTCTGCCTCTCTCTCTCACAAACAGATGTGCGCGCATACACACGAACACACATGCACACACACACACACATGCACACACAGTGACACAAACATACACATAGCCAACTTCTCTGTGTTTGGTGATCATCATCTGTTTTCTGATGTGCAAGCTCACCTCTGATGCCGATTACTTCCTTGCTTAGACCCGGTGTGCTATTACACCAGTCTGCTCTCCCTTCACTCGCTTGTAAATCCTACTTGGAGCAGTAAGGTTGTGTCACTGCTCCTACTGATGTCATTGTTGTGAAAGCAATATCATCGCCATTGGTGGTAATTTTCCACTGTGCATGAATCATTAACAATCATCATCTATGTGTCACGGCCCAACCATCCTCGTAACCCCCCTCGTCGTGACTAGTGCTGTACCGTTGAAACCTACTTTGCTTCAGTGTATATTCGCCCCGGGCAAAGCTCTTGTTTTGTTGCATAGTGATCTGACGCAGTGTGCTATAGCCTGTCGGGTAATATGGATAAGATTAGGGACCATCGCAAAAGTTCGCAGAAGCCCCCGAAACGAAGACCGTTAGTTTCGGGCCTGACCCCCCTCCCTCCCCCCTCAAACGAAACGACAGTCACGATATGGGCTTCATTATTTCACTTGGATGCTCACACATAATAATTATTATAATATACTACACAAGCATTGTTGTATCAGTGTGTAACAATGTACAGCACTTCATAAATGCAACGATGATATCACCTTGCAGTGGGTGATCTAAGAACGAGAACAGCTATAAAGTAGAGCTATGCAGTTGTATCCTTTGAGCATGCTAATCTATATTATCAGCTCCTACATGTCGTCAATACTTTTTTGAATTGAAGTCCGGTTTGCGATTTTCGACACCAACTCCCTCCCCCCCCCCCCCAAACGTATGCTCTTCGTTTCAGGGGCTTCTGCGAACTTTTGCGACGGCCCCTTAGTACAGTCGGCATCGCCTATCGAGTGACCAGGTACATGTATAAGGATACTAGTACATGTATACCGGCTTAACGATATCGGAACACAAATAGCACTATGTGTGCAGTATTCCTTTCTAAGCTCACGCTGTGCGGTGCAGATAGGTCATGTGTCGTTGCCAACTTGCCGCATGTGCAGCAGGAAGGCACCACATGTCGACTACTACTTATACTGTACAGCATTGTGTGCTTACATGCATCTACGGCCTTGTGGATGCAATTGAGTCTCACATACATGTACATGAAATATTGCGTGTAGTGCGGCATCAGGTGTTAACATACAGTGGCTAAATATTTTCTCGCAATAATGACCAGAGCCAACTCAAGTCCTGTATTATTTATGACCATGACAACAAGACTTCCGGGCTGAAATTCTTCTATGACAGGCATGAACACTTGCCTTACAATTGTTCGTGATTGTACGAAGTACATATTCGCTGTTGCATCAATTTTGCACCATTTATATTGTAGTGCCACTAGTGGTATCACCTGCATGCGTATTGAGTCAAACAAGGTTACCTCTGTATAATTATGCTTATCGTGGCTACCAAGAGCTTCGATGCAAATTCCCAGCTGACGAATGGTGTCCAGCTTGTGTTCAGCTCAGCTGGCACTCACAACTCATAATAATTGCGTTCTAGACGCCAGATGAGATGTTTCAGTTACAATGTAGACACAACGTCCGTGTTCAAGAAAGCCGTCACTTCATCTTCTGTCCATCCTCAATAGCACGTTCAAGCAAATAAGTCTGAAACACAGTAGCGACAATCCGACAGCGGCGACACGCCGTCTTCTCCGAATGAGCTTCTACCGTTCTAATTCAGATTCCCCCAAAATGTCAAAATAAATAATAGATTTCCACCAAGCTCGCTAGAATCTTGCGAACCGTCAACATGCAGGCATTTCAAGTGTTCGAGCGTGCGTAGATTCTGCTCAGCGGCTCAAGAACATTCGCCAAGCTAAAAAAAGTCGATGAGAAAGATGTAATGGTGGACGAAATTACGAAAATCGGAAGAAGGTATTCGACCCAGTTCGACTATCCTGGACTGGATTGGCAACGTCCAACAATCGGATTCGTATTCTATGGGGTCTCATGAGCTAGTGTGCCAAAGGGCGTTTAGTTGGAGCTTCAGTGCATCACCTTCGCCGAAAGAGGCCCTTTCTGAGATTTGGCCGATGGACTATTACTACAGTTACTTTGTCCTACATCACGTATACATAGCTGCCTGTACACAGCTGAGCATGTCCGTGGTGTTTGCATGCTTGCAGTTGCTAGGTGATGGGTGCTACTCCAAGTACATCTACGAGTCTACAACATGTACATGTTCATGTGGTTACTAGTAATGTATTCAGGCTCGACCAGATTTAGCAACACAAATATTATTCC